GAATGAAATCAGCTTTATTTAGTTTACCTAAGAAATCCAAATGTCATTTCAGTTTATTACTAACTCAACTATATACCATAGTATTGCCCTTGAGAAGTCAAATAATCTGTGCAATTATTGTACACAATGAACCAACTGTCTCGATAATAAAGTTTTATTGTATGATAAAGTAAGGTATATAACAATTGTCTTGACACCGCCGGCTGCCCGTTATAAAGGGAAACTTTAGCCATACTTTGTGGTTATTAACGCCAAGATTAGAATTAATCGTGGAGCGGTAAATAAACCCCCAAATTAAAAGCTCTGTTAGTTTTCGACAATGGATGCTGACCACATTAGTTTTAATGGACTCACCTAGTTGAAGACGCTCGGTCATGCATCCACACATGATCACGAGTCGGAACGCCGTGCTCAACAACCCCTGCAATCGCTAGCCAGATTAGATCAGACGATTCTCTAAGGTTATCAGACGCAATAAATGTCGCTTAGGCTCATTTGAAACTCCCGATGCTCGTTTCGACCATGTTCATCTGGATTTGGTAGGACCTTTGTCAGATTCAAATGGATATTCCTATCTTTTGGCCTGCATAGACCGTTTCACTCAATGGCCAAAAGCAGTACTCATCAAGGACATCACTGCTAAAAACAGTGACCCGCACCTTCGTCGAACGATGGGTAGCAAACTCCGGCTGCCCTGCCAGTTCGAATCCGAACTTTTCCGTTATCCAGCCACACGTTTAGGAATCACTCGCTTCCGTACGACTGCCTACCACCTACAAGCAAACGGGTTGGCAAAACGTTGTCACCGACAACTAAAATCTTCGGTATCAGCTGCAAACGTTTCACAGTGGACTGACGCTTTTCCACTCGTCTTACTATGTGTTCACAAGGCAGTCAAAGCTGACATCGGATACACTGCGGCTCAACTCGTCTATGGAACGACACTTCGAATTCCAGGAGAATTCGTGGACCCTTCATCCTCTTTAATGAACATGGATCTAACCTCCTACACGAACAGGCTTGCGAACACAATGCGTTCAATTAAACCTGCCTCCTTTCGACCTCAATCAATTGATGTTTTCGTTCAACTTGACTTATGATATAGTACACACGTCTTCGTTCGTCGAGTTTCACATTGACGATTTCTCGAATGAGCATACGAAGGACCTTTCAAAGTTCTTCAACGCGAACCTAAGTACCATATAATCGATAAGAACGGAACAAACGATCGCATCAGCATTGATTGCCTCAAAGCAGCTTTTTTAGAATAAGTCCTATACAAGCCGATTTTCATTCGGTATAATCGAACGACACGGCTCCCACACTTGTAATACCTCATCCGACAACCAACGCACACTATGATACTTCGGTAGTATCAGAAAATAAAATTAAAACAGCGCGTTCTGGAAGAACATTGAGATTTCCAGACCATTTAAATGAATATTGCACGTAAGATACCAGGTAAAAATTTGCTTCATCTCGATTTACCATGGCATTATATATAATATTAAAAAAGTCGGTTTATATGCTTATATTTATATATATTTATTATTTGGCTAATATGTATATTAAAGAAGTTTAAAAAAAACATTCTGTAAAAATCGCTTTTACGCTACCACATGTACATGAGTTTATTTTCCTTTTTTCGCTCAATTTGTGTCTTAAAGCGCGCACGAGTTTATTTCGACATGCACTTACATGTTTTTTTTCTTTTCCAGGACGGCTGGAAAAGACGACAAAAAGAACGATGAGGTTTATGAGGAACCAAACTTTTCATTGTACATTATTTTCTTACTATATTGTAGTTCATGGTCCCTTAAAGTAAGGAAGGACGACCAGACGCCGCTAAACCTAGCAAGCTATCAGAAGAGTGTTTACCAACGACAAACTCGTTGGGTTTAAAATTCTGGCTGGCCACGTCTTAGGGTCATCACTACCCCACTAGGGGGGGAGTAATCTGTAGCGGTAAATTAACCCCCAAATTAAATAGCTCTGTAGGTTTTCGACATTGGATGCTGACCACACGTTTCATGACGTCACCTAGTTGAAGACGCTCGGTCATGCATCCACACCAGATCACGAGTTGGAACGCCGTGCTCAACAACCCCTACAATCGCTAGCCAATCTAGATCACTCAACTGTCGACATATTGACAGCCTACCAGATATATCTCTCAACCTCCTCACCTTTGACTTTTGACTTCACTTGTTGGGTACGAGATATATTAGAAGGTTTTTTCTGGTTAAAGCTTTGTCAGACGCCGAATACCTGTGGTATCTTCACTAGTATCAAACTAACTGAACATTTGTTAGTATGTTCGTAATAAATATTAACTTTTGATATACCTAAAATGTCAAATTTTGCGAATCATCTTTGTGCTTTCTGTGATATAATATCATCTCTGGTTAACCTCTTGTATGATGTCTCTCACATTCATTATGTGCATCCTTCTTGTTTTCCTTCCGAAGATTATCTTTTGAGGTATTTATTTACCAAATTTGTTTATTGTATTTTGTCCTGAGTCTATTCGGACATTCAACTCTCAGGTGACATGAAGCTGAAAATGAACTAAACCGAAATAAATAATTATGAAATACGTTGAATTATTCTATGAGTTTTCGTCCGTATATCGCAAATGGTAAATCTTCTGAGGCATTTTGTCAATAATCCTGTTGAATCCAAGTTATTAGACGAAATGTGTGGGACAAATTGAAAGAGATATGAACCTGTCAATAAATTGTTGTGTACGTCTTAGACATTGATGCTGACCGCATTAGTTTTAATGGACTCACCTCGTTGAATGCGCTCGGTCACCCATCCACACCAGATCACGTGTTGATACCTCGAGCTACGTAATTCTTACAATTGTTAGCCAGCTTAGATCGAACACTTCCCGGTTTATCGATAGTCTTTCAAAATTTTCTTCGAACGTCTTCGTTTCTGACTTCTGATTTGACTGGTTTAGCATATTTTGATTATGAGGGGTGTTACTGGTTAAGGCATTGTGAAGCTACGGATAATTGTGGAATCTTTGATGGTGAGGCTGACGTGAACTGTTCATTGTCGCCTCTCAGCTCTATACATTTTACACGCCTTTTTGTCTCCCAAATACTCTGCCAGGCATCTGAATTTGTTGAATATTTATTGTGCCTTTTACACAACATCACTTCATGTTCACTTCAAACCTAAATATTATTTTGCTTTTAACAGTCCACGGTATCATTGTATAGTTTTATCCCGGTTTTCATTGATCTAACTTCACTAATTCAAATGGGATTGAGTCAAAGTACCTTAAATATATCTGCCTTTACTTACGCTTGTAAAGAGATTTGTTTTATCCCTAACAGAATCTTATCTCCATAATCTGGGGATGCTTTTATAGAGAAATAACCATTCTTCAGTACTTTCTATCAATTTTAATCTGCTGTAAATTATGTCTAGTACGCAGTAGATAATGCAGAAAAGAATAAATATATGTTGTGTGTAGCTGCCAAACGATCTTAGCCATGTGGTTGGCTAATAAATCCAGGACTATTGCTTGAACCATTAACAGCTCAATCCAAAGACATTATTGCAAAGCTTGGTCTAGGGGTCTTCTTGTCACTGTTAACAAAGACTCAAAATCGTAGAACACCAATACTTCCACAAATTTTCATCGTGAGACACTGCAAGTGATGACTTCCCGATGTTGTATTTATATTTCGCAACACGTTTCAAGTGGATTACTTCACGTTTTAATTTTTTGAATTTTGTTTCATTGATATCTGCCTGCCTTTGACGTTGAGTACGGTGTTTCAGAAGTTTTGATTTACCGAACCAGTTACAAGAATCGCTTGAAAGCTTAATGTCGTCAGAGAAAGGTAATAACTTAAAAAAATACTTTTTGAGGAAGATCATTCACATAAATGAAAGCAAGAGTTCCTAGTACTGAATTATAAGGGATAGTACTTGATCCATTCTCATCGTGCCTAAAGCATGGAGACCCAGTCATAATTTAAGGGACTAAAGATTAAATCGAAGACTATCTACCTCATTTCGTTCAGGCCTTTGATAAACATTCCGGCAGTTTATAAAAATCCACAGAAATTCCAATCACTACAGTTTTGTAGTGAATTGCAAACTCTACAGTATAATCGTGGTGATGTGTATCTTTATCCTTGTGTTAAAGTAAGTAGCAAGTCAAAGAACCAGGCTAGCTGATTGAAGTATGACTTTTGGTCTAACGACCTTTTTGGTTTATTTTCTTTGAACTCGTTCTGGGAGATTTTTAACCCTACTGGAACTGAGAGGGATAACGGGAAAATTTATCACAATTGAGATTTTAAGTGATCGTCAGAAGATTATTATATCATGCAGCAATTACGAGGTTAGTGCACCAACACGATTCATGGTTGGGACTAGATAGGTGTGCCTTACTGTATAGGTATCAATACCAAGGTTTGATTTGATGATCTCGAATAAATTGAGCATTGGGTAGATTGTTATAAATAAATAACGTAATTGTAATATCCCAATGAGTAGAAAATCTATGTGCCTCACTGTATGTTCAACAATGTGACGTATATTCAGGGTTTGACAACGCTTTTACCTGTTGTGCCGTTATAATCGAAGGGCAGCAAACCAGTCAGATCAAAATTCTGTGGTGAATGGGTTAAAAGACATATTTTTAAGATTTTCAGTATGTTGAGCAGCGTTTGGTTCAAGCTGGCTGGTAGCTGAATGGGATGTGTTGCACGGCATGCTCAATCATGACCTGGTGTGGATGGGTGACCGAGCGCCTTCAGATAGGGTCTGCCCAGTAAAAAAATAATGTCAGCATCAATGTCGAGGACCCACACAACTATTCATACTAGGTATTTATTAGCCGCTACCGATTCAACTATTTGTGCATATCAGCATTGTCGTTCATTTAACAACGAAATAAGGAAATTCAATCTAATAGTCAAATCTTTTATCTCAAGGCAGTCTCAAGGCTGTCAAACAAAAGTTTATAATCAAGTCGTTGGTTAAATTTATGCAGTATTTATTAAATGGCCAATAGGTGAAAGCTAAAACGACCGCTACAAACGACCTTACGGCGTTACTGTGATTAAGCCGTCGTATGCGTGTTTGCACTTATCATGTCGACAAAATATGATAGGGCGATTACCATCTTCTCTCCGGACGGTCATCTTTTTCAAGTAGAATATGCACAAGAGGCAGTCAAGAAAGGTTCAACTGCAGTAAGTATGTTATTTAAGTTTCCTAGTCTTTAGATTGGTGTTAGAGGGAAAAACTGTGTTGTTCTGTGTGTCGAAAAAAAGGCAACAACTAAGTTACAAAATGATAGAACTGTCAGGAAAATAGCTCTTTTGGATGATCACGTCGCAGTTGCCTTTGCAGGTAAACAATTCTATTTACTAATTGCTTCGTAGGGCTCACTGCGGACGCTCGTATTTTGATCAGTCGGATTAGGGTAGAATGTAAAAGCTATAAACTTACTGTCGAAGATCCCGTGTCTCTGGAATATATTGCTAGGTATATGGCTCAGTTGAAGCAGAAGTACACTCAAAGTAACGGTCGTCGCCCTTTCGGTGTGTCGACATTAATATGTGGATTTAATCAGGACGGCACTCCCCATCTTTACCAGACGGACCCTTCTGGAACTCACTTTGAATGGCTGGTAGGATATAATCAACTTAAGCTCACTTTAAGGCTAATGCTATCGGAAAAAATGCAAAAGTCGCACGTGAATTTTTAGAGAAAAACTATACCGAAGACGCTGTTGCTGATGAATTTGGAACTGTCAAACTTGCAGTTAAAGCACTGATGGAGGTAGTTCAATCAGGCGCTAAATACATGGAGTTGGCTGTAATGAGGTGGAAAGCACCATCTAAGCCTGGAGAACCATTTGTAGATTGGCAGGTTTGTTAACAATATCGTGATTTTAAACAAACTATTGATTTTGGGAAAGTTACAATAGGAAATTTGGGAAAGTGCTACAAATACCCCAAAATTTCTCCGGACTGTAGGGAAAATTACTACTTTTCATATGACTTCGGGAAGAAAACCTGTGGTTTTTCAAAAAATTAAGAGATTGGGAAGAATGTTTTCAATTTAGTTTGTTTTCCAGCGTAAATTTTCTTACTTCACTTACCCTCAAATGTGCATATTTGACTTTCATTCACAGTTCTAACTATCATGAAGGTTGTATTCACAAATTTTCGCACTTTATATCTAGCACAGAAATACTACATTAAACTAAGTAACTTATTATGGATTAGGGGTTGATACTTTTCAAATGTTTTGGGATATCACCTTAAAAACGTTAATAAGCAGAGCATCACAAGCACTTTGGCATATCTAATATCAGGCCTCTGTTAAATATCTTGATGTCGGCTCATCCATGTTCTTAGGAAACTTTTGTAATCCAGTGCTTTTGTTGTGAAATTACAGTGCATAGATTAGCTTTCGTTTCTGTAGTGATGTCGACTTCTACTTATGAGTACCATATTGACTAATAAATCAAGTACTGGAACTTTAAGACATTTCATCTGTGTTTACTCCTGTTATATGCTCTATGTTTTTAAAAAGTGATATTAGATATTCATGAATGTCAATCCTATCTATAATTATTAAAAAAAACTCGTTACATGAAGGTAGTTGAAAAGAACCGTAAGCTTAGTAAAAAATCCGGTATCTTATTTTTCGATTGCTTTCAACTAAAATGGATTCTTATTTGCATATGAATAATTGTTTTAGGGAAGTCAAACCAAAACTTGTCACTGGTCCATGACATCAATAATTGTTGGCCTGTGGTATGTTAGCAGATGGTATCTGGTCAGTCATAAGTGCTGTCCCTGAGGACTCACCACAATACGAAACTAAACATAACCATACTGCACACGATGAATCAGAGCTATCTTTTAGATTATTTACTCAAGACATTTTGTATTATGACACTTTGAATTTCAAACCCCTTTATGAACTTTCGGCAGAATTTTTTATTTGATTAAACTAAGTGTTCACCCATCAAAATTTTATGAAATGTCCTCTATGTTGCTAAACATTTAAAAATATTCTTGCGCATAAATTAAACAATCAATTAGCTTGAATATTTTTAAACCACATAATTTTCCAAAATCTAATCAACGATGGTGACTTTAAGAGCGACCAAACGAAAAGTTAGTATTAAAACAGTAAATTAGATCCAAAGGCAATTAAGCAAAACTAGATCTGGTAGTCTTCGCTTTCAGTGATAGGGGACATTGGGTGACGGTTCAAAATCCGACACTGGCTCAGACGCATCTATTCTTCACCTCCTTTTATATAATGAGTTCTAGTGTTCCTTTACGCATACCTTCTTACTATATTCTCATCATATAGTCTTTCCCATTATCATTGTTACTACACTATGTCTACTCCCTTACTAACCTTGTTAATATCGACTGGTCGCACTGTAGTATACCAACACATTTGTTCCAGGCTCTAATTTGTTCATTACTGACTGACTAATTATTTAAATGACTTTTACCATCGGTTATTTTGATTAATGAAAAATCCTGATAACTATAGAAAAATAGTCTTGATGTACGCATTTTGTTATAGTTTTCGTAGTCATTTGTCGTCTAGTTTTAAATCGCAAACAAATTCAAGAAACTAACGGGTTCAGCAAAAGTTGAAAGCACATCTGTCAAATTTTCACTCCACTAAACTACCTCCCGACATCATATAAGGAAAGGCAGTATGTCTGAAAGCATTGGCTACGTTACCTTTGGGCACAAATACTGGAGATAAATGGCTTTATAGCTTTACAAAGCTATCGGATGAAGTGGTGTCATATGTATTATTATGGCAGCGAAGTTACAGGTAGGGCTTAAACGTTTGAGGATTTGATACCAGATAATATAGAATCCAACATGTTTTCTGAATTATTCTGGAACTTGTTGATTTCATAATTAGCATCCAAATACCTGTCAAAATTACTTTGGAAGTGTAATGTAGTATAATTAACAATCAGTGATTGTTCTTATTACTGATTAGCCTATTCGTAATGGTGGGTGTACTTTTAGTCTTCCATGTCGATCCTTTCATTATTTTTGTTTCTACCAATATAGTCGCTCGTATTATCTTTATTCTTTTTATCTACTCCCAATCTCCACTTTCTTCAAAGGTTGACGGCCTAATTTAGTACTTTTATGTGTCAGGTCCCATGTTTTTTTATATACTATTCGTAGGCTATAGGTATTTCTCAATCTCTAAACTAATCTACTTATCATTGGACTACTTATCTTATCCTGGGACTTGTTGATTTTATCCATTTCTAAATAATTAATCTGTGAAATTGTTTTGTAGTATTGTTATTGTGCTTTAAATCAGGTCATTTATATGGTTTATGCTGTCTTGTCCATAATAGTCTCTTTGATCACTGTTAATTTGATTGGTCAACAAATTTTTGGCATTTGGGACGATCGAATTGTTGTTTTCGTAGGCTAATGTAGCCTCGAAATGCAGTGAAGGTTTTGTTGGGTTTTATTCGTTAGTAAACAGACATAGTTTGTTAACAGAAATTTATAATTTTTATTCTGAAGGATTACTTATCAATCCAACTAAATATCTTTGCAATCTTATCTGTAATAAACCTAATGTATTTAGACAGCTTTATACAGACAGCTGATTGAACAAATGTAGTGTTCATAATGAGTAGTCTTGTAAATTGCAAAACATCCACACCAATTTGTTCTTTCGTCAACAATGTACAGGTTGTTTACTTATTGTTTTTTATTATGTGGTTGGATGAGTGTACATTGCGTTAACATATACATATCAAGTTATGATACATGCTTTTTTTCATCTTCTAGATGCTCGAACTTGCTGATATCCAAAAGTATGTTCAGGCTATCGAAAAGGAGAGAGAAGAGGAAGCTGAAAAGAAGCGTCAGAAAAAGGAAGCAGCTGCAGCATTGTAACATAGCTGGTTATTGTGTTAAGGTGTACAATTCTGGTTCTCATGTTTTATATAACTAAATTTGTTTTTGTTATAAAATATGGAATGTTGTTGAATGTTTTTGGGGATATTAGATGTTTAACAGTCATTCGCTTCGTCGCTTACGTTTCCATCAATTGCATTACCCTCATATGTAGTCGTGTCTAAGGCGTCGCTTTCAATCGTGATCTTATCTGAAGTGTGCTTATCATATTCAATTGAGGTTAAGTTTAGCGTCTTGTAAATTTTCTCCAAAATTTCGTGATCCAAATATCGGAAAATAATGTTATCTTCAATTCGCTCTTTCATTTCATTGAGACATGTCAATGCCTGAAAACAAATAAAATTTTTAGATTATCCTGTATACTTCATATCAATAAAAAATCCTACGTAAAAGTAGTTTTTCCACAATTTATTAATAAGTTCAAGCCTAAATATCAAGAATGAACAAATAAGAGCCTGTAAACGATACAATGTATTTATGAAAAATCTGTGTTGCATACAGTCGTTATTACTACTTTTACAAAATTATGGTTTATTATCAACGTCATTTTGGATTTCATAATACGTTGCAACTTTGCCAAATAACGAAACTTGTGCTAGGTCATAACTTATTTTACAATTAGCTGATGCTATCCGGAGTTCGACTAATTAACATATATTCTCGATAAAATGTTTTCCATCATACAGAAAGTGTATGTAATGAAACTGTTCCTGCATATTATTAGTCCTAACTCAGAGTGAATGTTAGCAAGTGGGTCAATCGAGGGAAAAAGATCTTGAAATTATTCTGATGTTTACTAAGTTGAATCGAATAAGGCTACATCCCTTTGTTGCTTTCTTCAGCTTTTGGATTTCGGACCGGTAGTTCTGACGGTAAATGTTTATAAATGATAAATAAGCTCTTCTACCTTATCTGAGTCGATTAATATTCGCTCCAACAGTGTCTAAAAATGTTCAAGTAGTCCTTTTAAGGTGTAAGAATCCTAATTGTTTGAAAGAAGACAGAATATCGATAATCCCATACCAGCACAGGCTTAACAAAAGATGTGACGTCATACTTAGTGGCTACTGGTGTAAACATAAATTATTTTTGTATACGTTGTTTCTTTGAGCTTTAGTCAAAAATTGATATAAGCGACTATGCTCAGATCTTATTGGTAGTAGGATTCATACAACTGAATAAACTGTATTCAAGGCTTAAATGCTATCCTCAGATTCCCAAAAGGTAATAGTGTTGCTAAATGTTATTGAGGTTTAAACTAAGAGAATTGAAGGCCCGGGATTTCCGTGGTGGTAAGTACTTTTAGTTAGAGACGTTCACTTTCCCTCTTCCATTTCTGTGAAAAGTACAAGTGAACCAATCAGTATAAAAATCCTTGTTACTCAATGAGTTTGAGTGCTAATACTATCAGATTTATTGTCTGAATACCGTTTCATCTATCAAGTGAATCTTATTGTTCGTTCATGAGTCATTCAAGAAAAGCGAGTTTTCAATATTAAATTGAATCTGTTTTTAGGAAAATTTTCATAAGGGAAAATATCGGTTGTAATAAAAGAGTGGGTATTATTGTTTGAGTGTCACTCAAATATTATTCGTAATTATCACTGTATTTGATAAAATTACTCATAAATAATCAAATTCTAATCATAGTATGGAGATTATTAAACTAAATCAGAATATTGAGTTACGCCGAAATATTGGGTATAATACACAAATCAATCAAAAATGCCTTGATTTACACTGTCTAGGTTAGATGATGACGTATATTATGATATAACATTTAAGCACCAAACATATCAATAAACTTAGAAATTATTTTAGTGTTATATAGTGATATTTTTTAGCAGGGAAACAATTCGTATTGATAATGTTGATTCCTCTTTAGAATTTATCAGTAATAGGATTGACTTACAGCTTTATATTTCTCTTCCATTACTAATCCACGTATTATTAAAGAATAAATATCTCCAGGTCTCAATATATCATCTTGCCCAATATTTTCTAAAAGTGTGTAACATCTTTGCATTGCATCTGTTGGGTTTGTAGAAAACAACCTATTCATTTGAACGAAAAGCGCAAATATTTTATTAGTAAATGGGGGATGAGTTACTCATATTTCATTCGTTTAACAATAAGAGTACACAATTGTATTGGTAAAAGTTTATATTGTGATCAAAGATGACTACTTTTATTCCATGGACAAATCAAGTTGTTTCGCCTTACTGAAAATACTTTTAAAAAATTTGTGATTTTTGTAAATAACATTGATTTCTCTTTACTTTATTAAGCGGCTAATTCGATTTCCAAATGTAAAACGTCCAGTTGTGCTCATCGAGTTCTGTCTGTCTTGAATTGGACTATATTAGTAATCCTTAATTAGCACGTCATTCCAACTACTCCTGATAATCATAAATTTGTATATCTATCTCTGGTAAATTACTAAGGAAATTAGTCGATTGTCTTATGCCGAGAATCAACTGCATTTGAAAAAGTGAACTTTCAGATTCCAACCAAACGGGCTAGAATTCATGTTCTCATTACAAAATTTGAAGTTCTTGGGTTAAATTCCTCGTGAAGTCATAGAGAGTCGCGAACTAAGAAGAAACGGTTTTTCCTAGTTTCTTCTGTTTTTTTTTGTTGTTGAGGGAATGACGTACTGCACTTTGCGAAAACAATCATTAATAAAAAAAATGATTAACTGAATAAAATAACTAATGTACCTTTCAATGCAAAACGTTAAAGTAAATAATTCAGGTTTATTATATTATTCTGGATCAGCACACGAATATGTTACGACCATTTATTTGAGTTTAAATTGGATTTCTAGCAGAGCATAAGCTAGAAATATACACAAATAGGTCTGTGGATGGAGTCATGGATGTACTAGAGTACAATTTTCCGTTTCCGAAAATAATACTGTGCGACAGAATCTCTTCAAGGATTTAACTGTACTTTTAGATTTACATTTTAATGTTTGACTCAGAAATAGCCGAACGCACTGATGATTTTACAATCCTATTGAAGGAAATCACTTTCGAGTAACATCAGTCTACTTACATTGCAACTCAGTTTGTGTTAAATAATGGTCTCGATTTTTATGATCGGTGAAATAATGGATAGGGTGCTGATAGAAAAATGCTCTAAAATGAGGCAATACTGGCCATTGGTGGTTCCTTGTTAAACAGAATTGACAAACTTTCTGTACATATGGATCATTAATTGGAAGATAAAAGATTGAATAATGCGATATGCAATTACAGTAGTACTATACTTATTTATCTTGTCAACCACTTCCCTATAGAGGTATACGTGGATAAAAAGTATAGTAACATGTAGTTTATCAATCACTAAACATTCAGTAAGTTTATGACTATAGAATAATCCGCCTCCTATTTGATGTAACAAAATATCAGCACTACAATGAAGTTTAACAACTGGTGGTGATAATCAACCTACTTCTGAATTTCTATAAACTCGTTGCATAATATTGTCTTCTTTTTTATTTGAGTTGAACGTTTCTTAAGATGACATTCATTTGTTTGATTATTATCATCATTTGTAGTTGAACTTGATAATTTAACTAAGACTTTATATGCTTCAGTTAATGCATCCAATGCTTTTTCATAATTGCCAGATTCTTCAATTTCACTCTGTTGTTAGTAAGTATAAACAAAACCATGTACAATTACGTTTAATAAGCTACTGATTTTAAGTGATATCAATACAAATTTGACCACAATTCCATAAATTTATTATGAAAATTAACGTTTACTAAAGTGGATAACTTATTCATAAATTTTCAAAAATTAGTCAGTTAGTCAATCAAACGCAGCATAGAACCTGGCACACAAGTATATCGGTTCAAGTTACCGTGAGATGAAATTGTTAGGGCGAATCCAGGAGTAGTAGAATTAGTAACAGCTTTAATGGTAATAGAAAAGATTAGGTATTCAAGATAAAATTCGGGAAAATGTAAATTTGTGAAGTGATCAGAAGAATTTGTGTAGAATTTAGGGATCTAAGAGAAGGCAGATGCGCCTGGGCCATTACAAACAACTTTTTTAACGATTTTGAAAACATCACTCTCTTTATATGAAATAAATAAATCTTCAACTGAACTTTAAGTTGTGAAACCTATATTCATGTACAAATTCAAATCAGTGTTATGGAGTAGGGAGTACTTCATACATTTTATTCCTTTAAATTTTCAAATTATTGATACACAAATAATGGTTACCTTAATAATTAAGTATTTCCAACTTTTTTAAATTCTGTAACTACCCACCTGAAACAACATACTAGTAGCATTAAGTATCAAAATCTTAAACCGAACCTATGCATTCAGAGATCAGACAATCGTCAACTTATCACTGATCTAATAGAGTGATATTATTCGCTTTATTACTGCTCAGTTAGTATTATCAAGTGCAAGTTCCTGTCAGTTTTGGAAACTTCATATTTCGAAAGTGCAAAGTATATGCAGTGTTTACTGACAGTGATTGTCAACGGATATAGTGAAATTTGGTTAGTTTGTGTATTATCAAACACTAAAACCATATCATCAATATACTGAAGTTCAAAAAGTTGTACTCCGAGAAAAATATGCAGACCGCCACTTAATTAATACGAAGCTGTTTCCAGAATGTTATCAATGGAAAATTTGAAGAAAAATTCAGATTAATTCCACTGCTGGATTGAAATAGTAGAGAGAGGTGGTTATGTGTCTTCAGTCTACCATATCATATGACCAAGTATAAAATGATAATATAGTTCAATGAATATTACATGGTATTAAAGCTTGTTTGAATAAAGCACACTCATATATAAATTGGATAAGATTGTATTCAATCATAATATTCGAATGAAATATTAATTATCACAAAACGAAGTTATGAATTGAATTGACGAATTCAAGTTCTATAAATTTTATTTACTTGGCACAGATTTCTACTATTTCATATAGTAGACTACAAATATTATAATTTTTGAGGATAAATACTCAACCTACACTAGTTTACAACCATGTTCATAATAATACAATTACATAGATACTGTTAACCATTAGAACAAACATAATTTTCCAAGTTGTATTTTCATATAAAGACATAAATTTCTCACCAAATGTTTCAGAAAGCATGAATGTATATCACAATTTGCAAACAGGTATCATTGTGTTGATAGCATACAATTCTTTTGTAATAGAGAACAAGTAGATACATTTCAGAAAATTCTTTCAACATCTAATGCACCTTTTAATTAGTCGATATTAATAATCTATTACAATGAAACGAATCTGTAGTGAACAAGAACACAACTGTGGACAACCAAACATCTTACTAAAATCTGAGAGCCAAACAGTAAATCTTTAATTTGCGAAATATCAATCCATTGTCTCAAACTTGACTGTTCCTTTTGTAAATACTAGTCCATTGCCTTAGATTTCATTGTTCATACATTTTCATACCCATTACTTCTCGTTCCCTTTCTTTCCTTTTCCATCTTCTACTGAAATACATTCTATTTCTGACTATCGTTATATACTACTTATGTAGATATAAGTAGCTCACACCACAAATCTAGAAATCAGGAGCTAGTTCACAATCATATATATATATTCATTAGTTGATATTGATAGCTAGCATATCTTAAACATGGTCTACCAAGGTGCTTGTTACCTGTGTGGTTTCACCATAGGATTAACTATATTATTCAGATTGTAACGTAAGAACCTATTTAATGTCTGATTCTCCTGTGAAGCAGGATTGAGCTGTACTGTTCGTGTTATAAAGTTTGAGCCTGAATAGTGTCTGACTCTCCTGTAAAACAGGATTAATCTGTACTGTTTGGGTTATCACGTTACTTACTTACTTACGCCTGTTACTCCTCGTGAAGGAGCATAGGCCGCTCACCAGCATTCTCCATCCAACCCTGTCCTGGGTAATCCTTTCCAGCTCTTTCCAGTTCCTATTGATCCTTTTCATATCTGCTTCTATTTCCCGACCTCATGTGTTCTTTGGCCTTCCTCTTTTCCGCTTCCCTTCAGGACTCCAAGTTAGGGCTTTGACGATTTGCGTAATATATGTCCTATCCATTTCCATCGTCTTTTCCTAATTTCCTCTTCAGTTGGAAGCTGGTTTGTTCTCACCCACAGAAGGCTGTTGCTGATGGTATCCGGCCAACAACGGACATTGAGTATCTTGCGTAGACAACTGTTCATAAATACTTGTATCTTCTTGATGGTGGTTATAGTGGTTCTCCAAGTTTCAGCTCCATACAGTAGAACTGCCTTGACGTTGGTATTGAAGATTCTCACTTTGATATTAGTTGACAGTTGTTTTGAGTTCCATATGTTCTTCAATTGTAGGAATGTGGCCCTTGCTTAACCAATCCTCGTCTTTACGTCTGCATCTGATCTTCCTTAATCATCGATGATGCTTCCCAGGCAATGTGAAGGATTTTACATCTCCCAGAGTTACGCCATGTGAAAGTCTATAAATGGTATCTGGTTCTCCTGTAAACCAATGTAAAATTACCCTGACTCACAATTGTATTTAACCATTATATAACTTATCCTAAACAAAACTATTATTAAATAATCTAGATTATTGTTGTTATTATTATTATCATACAATTGATATCAACCAAAAAAAAAATAATAATAAATACAACAATTTAATATAATTAAATAAAATTATATAAACATACATGAGCGCATGTTTCGTAAAATGTAATTAATGATTCCATTGCTTGTCCACGTATATAAAATTGTATAATATTACGTATAATATTTATATTTTTATGCCAATTATTTATTGTTTGTAAATAATTTGCTGTTATAATATAAATTTCTTTTTGTTTACTAATATTAGTAAAAAATATAATTTTCTCTATATCACCTGATTTAATTAATGATTTAATAGCTAATAGATAATTACCAGCTTGAGTGAATTTTTTACATGCTAAATAATAATATTCATTTATTAAACATAATTCACCTAATTTTATAAATATATTTGATAGATCATGATTAGATAAATGATTGGTTATTGGTGTAAGTTTTTCAATTAGATCTTCTGTAATTGGAATATCATATTCATTACATAATTGAATGGCTTCCAAATACTGTAAAGTAATTGTTTTATATAAATATAAATATATATATAATATTGTAAATGGAAATAATTTATTAAATAGTGAACATATAAAATACATGACGTATGGTTATAATAGAAATTAAAGAAAAATATACCATTTATGATGGAGTACTTTCTTTTTTTTTTTAATTTGAACTGGATGGTTTAGTTGTGGAGTTTTTTTTCATGATATTATCAACAGGAGTGAATCAGAAAAAATTATGTTTAAACAAAGGAACAAAAATTAAATTCATGAAAGATACGGTGAGATTCTAATTTATGGACAAGCCAATCAGAATCGTTTGAGGGATTTCAAGGTCACAGCAACAACTTCAGTACTTAATGCTAACGTACGATCGGTTCACAGGGGATTTTATACAGAACATGATAATTGAGCGACTATGACAAATAAAAGGGCTGTATTATAATTAATGGACGAACCAATCAGGTATAAGATAACAGATCCAAGATTTTGGCTCGAAAGTCTTTCATCCATTTGGTTAAATAGAGTTTTGGCATTATAGCTGATGTCAGTTCGTGATGAAAACCCCATATATAGATTCCACGTATAAGAGGTGTATCCGCTTTATTTCCTTGGTTTTGCATAATATATTTTTACTCTATACTGACTGATTCCTGATTGGCTAATATTTCTCAAAGTCACTTAAGATTCGTTCAAAGGTCGTCCATAAATTAGAGTCTCGCCGGATAAGTTGTGAACCACATGTGAAGAAATTTAAACACTCCGTTTCTAACTGAAATTTGTGCTGATAATATCGTTCAGAAGAACGATAAAAACTCTATGAGTAAACCATCCAGTCCACAGAATAAAACTCCATCAAAAATCATCCGAGTTACAAATATTTCTTTTGAAACTCATCACCTGGATATCCCGGTATCTAAGTGTTAATATTCACTTTCCAATATCTATTATGCTGTTTAATCAATGTATCAGCTAAATTTATTCAACGCATATTATGTTTATATAATTATTAGGAAGGGTTTACATTTATTCTGCATATAATAATAGTTTTCTGAATTTATTCGATGAATGTATCAACTTTACATAGAACAAAATACTCGTTTTAAATTCTATCAGTCTATTTTCTTATAAAGTTCTAGCGAAATGACAATATCGACACAAGATACGCATATCTCAACAACGACTGATGAAATATACTGGCAATTATTTTACTATTAATGGCTTTAATCAATATTAAATTTTGGTACAATATAGAATTTTCAGCACGAGGTATTTCAACAAGTTCCTTTCACAAAAAAAAAGAAAAAAAGGTGGAAAAAAGATCTGAATCTGTACAACTTTACAAATTAGAGACATGTTTAAGAATACGGGTTATTGACTAGGTTAACTCGAACAACCTGTTCGTCACAGAGTATATTTGTTAGGTAAGGTATTACAGAACTTTTGTACCTTTGCATGCGTGCATGGATTTTAATGTATTTACGTCTCATTCTACTAGAAGATATACAAGGAGAAAGATATGAGTGAAGGGGATGGTTAGTATCTGATAAGATAACACCTTACAGAAGTTTGCAAGACTTTAGATGTCTATCCACAATCATTTTAATAATGACCTCGAAAGATTCACCACACACCTTGCTAACTGCCTTCGGCACTATCCGCAATACAGCGAAGCCTTTTCTCAGGACAGAATAATGGAGAACAGTAAATAATAATAGGTAATATGCAGGAATTGACAAGTTGTAATAGTATATGTCGAGTAATTCCGAAAGCATGCAGCCTCTTTGTGTAGTAAGTCAGACGGAAAAGTTTCTTCAATAACATTAAAACATGAGAAGAGCAGGAGAGATTAGAGGAAAGTAACACCAAGGTAATTGACCTTTGACACTGTGTTTATCAAAGAGCCTCCAATGGCACAAGCGTTATGGGATCTCAAAATGGTGTTTAAATGCCGTTCATGTCTCATGCTAAAGCTAACAGCTTGACATTTAGACGGATTAAGTATAAGACCGTTACCAACAGACCAACAATCAATGAGACAAAAACTCATTCATTTCTGTGGGATTTAAAGAAGTAGAAATCAGCACACATACATTGAGATCATTCGCACATTTCAAAAAGGTTTTCTATGGAAGATGGAAAATCATACAGAGAAAAAGAGAAAAGAAGAAGTGAAAGAACGGCTCATTGTGGTACATCTTCATGAGACAGTAGAAACGTTGAACATTTTCCTCCAAACACACTGTACTGTTCTCTTTCAGAGAGGTGAGAACATAGTCGATTGGTTATTCAGCTGTCACTGTTGACGCTGATTAACTTATTAAGTAAAAGTTGTCTTGGAATATTATCAAAAGCAGAAGTGTAGTCCAGATTTTTGAAGTCACGACGGCATAGTAGCCTATATATATATATATATATATATATATATATATATATATATATATATATATATATATATATATATATATATATATATATATATATATATATATATATATATATATATATATACTAAAGCAGTACTTATCAAATATACTCTAGATACATATCTGTTAGCTAGCCACAATTACCATGTTTACGTGATGTTACAAGCTGATTTGTAGCTGTTTTATTATTTTTACCCTTATCATTTGTGATTGACAGATGATCATTTTTTAAGTCAGTAACGTTAAATACCACTTTTACATCTTCACTTCTATTTATGACCAGTTTTTTGACAGGCTGTGCAAGCGATTCGCAAGTGAATCATTACTAACTTATGGTGTTGAGCTGTCATCTTTTCTATATCACTTACTTTGATTTAACTATTTCGGTTGATTTTTAGTTAATGTAATCTATCTGTGACACATATTTTAGTAGGAAGAACTTCAGTTGTTCTCTGTAAGTTTACAATGTCAATTTTATTTGTGTTTTAATTGTACGGTATTTCTAATTATATATGGTATGTACTTGTTTAAATTTCAAATTTTGTTTTAAATAAATAATAATTAATTTTAATAATGTTTAAAGACTCTTATATTATAGTTAAAATGATTAATCTATTAGTCGGTTTTTTTAATTCAGCAGAGAATTGAAGATGTGAAAGAACATCGTTTAATGTGGAATCACTAACTCATGACGCGGTAATTAAAGTCTTAATAGCATTGACAACTTCTTAGTTAAGATTAGGAGTGTCAATAATTCCAGATATCAAATTGCTTGCTAACCTGGTTCATCTATGAGATTTAACTGACTGTAAGATCTCTTGAGTTCACAGGACGATAAAGTGGAGATTTCTAGACAACTACGAGCTATACATCATAAAAAAACCTGTTAAGATTGTACGTAGGAGGCTTTACATGCCGAACACCTCAAAGAATACGCATCGCAATAATAACCTACCGTGATATAACGGACTGATAATACTGTTGATATAAACACATAGTATCACATACTACCTAATCATCAATTTTACTAATCTTTTGTAAACATTTATATTATGAGTGAATATTTCATGATATTACCTGTTTACCAGCTGCAAGTATTTCAACAGCTCGATCAAATTGATTATTTTGTGTAAAGAATTCTGAACATTTTTTTAACATAACTGAATCTAATTGTTCATCATTTAAAGAACTAATAATAATTTTTAAAGCATCAAATTGATGATTATTAATTGCTAATTCTATAGCACGATTAATTTTACCAGCTTTATGATATAATAATACTGCTTTATCAATATAATCAGGATAATTTTCCAAATGTTTTGCTGATTCTAATATATCATCTGATCTGCCTAATTGAGCTAAACTAAAAAGATGATCATTACGATTATGTTCCTGTAAGAAATATTTGAAAAGAAAAATAACAATATGGGAAATATTAAAAATATCTTCTGTTATCAAAGTGATAAATATAGTAATATACTAATGCATAGTTCAAGATATCAACAAGTTTCACCAAATAAATAATGAAATATCAAAGATTTTTGAAAATCTTTATGTCATATCGATAAGTATCTATGCGATTTTTGGCATTCATAAGACATGAAAATAACTAACATGCCTTAAGTAGATCGTTTATTGATCATTTATGTTGTAGTGCAGTCATTATTTTAAGCCCATATACCTTATTCTAGTTTTTGGACAAACCATTCTATTCATTCTACTTGAGTCATATTTTGACCTTGTCAATTATTCGCTTATTAGTTTTGACTGTTTTTATATGGGCGTATATGTGTGTGCCCTTCTTATTCCATTAATCACATGTCTGTAGCTTTATTTCGTCTGACTATAAATATTGAGTAACGCTTGAATAAAATGGAGTTGGCTTCCTAGCCATCTTCCATGCGTGTCATTTTGCTTTGCTATGTTTTATTCGCTTCATATTCAAAATATATGTATTCTCAAGTCAATTCACATCATTGACTAACGCGATTTAAGTCGACGATGATATACGAGAAAAGGTGATAACAATCATTCATACAATCTAGGAGTCAGATCATCATGGCCACCAAAATGTACAAATTCTTTTACTGTAAGATAGATATTAATAATAGTCGATTTATTTGTTTAATCATTGAGGTTCTCTCCAGATTTCCAGGTATGTACAGGTAGTTTTCTTAGGAGACCACTTCCCGAGCGTTCGACTCAAATATCTACCTCAAAGTCAGTTAAGCGATGTCAGAATTTACAGTCTAGTGTCAGGCAGTGAATAGAATAAGTTCTTACCTTATTCTCTAAGGGCTCTTGAGCATGATATTCAACATGGATTAGGAGTCGGAGTTTTATAAACCCTAAAAATGGACTATCTGTATCTAGAATTCTGTTTTATTTCCCCTTTTGTGAAAACCTCTACCACATAAAAGCGATGAATAGCACTTCCTTAACAGTGGCTTTAAGCACATGGCTATGTAAAAGTATTTTGAGATGGAGAATCAACTTTCTAGCTTTGTCTGTACCAGTCCATTTGAGGGCAAGGTGGACTTTAATATTTGACGACTAATGAAAATTCTCGATATAAGATTATGAATGGGACATAATATTCGTAGTTTTCAGGTCAGTGATTAGTACTATTTTTTCAAATACAAGACATCAGCTTTATTAAGAAATTTTCGTTCATCCATCATCCAACGAAATAAAATGATACAAAAATACGTAGATATATGGTGTATGGTAAAAATAACTAAAAGCAGAACTGGTGTAAACCTTCGCAATTAAAATGTAAAGTGAATTTAATTTAAAAATGTCACGAATATTCAGGACTCGACAACGCTGTTGACAGTAGCAACCTAATGGTTGAGCATACCTAGCGCAGTCAAACCAAGGATCAGGAATGAAGGAATCGAAGATATATTTGAAGAACAATTGATGTGTCAAGAAGTATGTGACTTAAGCTGACAAGTTATTGAAAGGGGGGCGAAGCACGGCGTGCATAGTGGTGTGTCAGGTAGAACTAACGAGGTCAGCATCAATGTTGAAGACTTATAGAACTATTTATTGTGGGGATTTATTTACCACTATAACTTTCATGGTAATCAAAACACAAGTCACTCAATTTTGGAATGATAATGATCAATGTTCTTTAATGTATGGTAGGATATGTTCAAGTCCTGAAGTCAGATAAATCTTGATAAATGCTAGTTATTATATCTATTTTTCAACATAAGCAACATTATGATCATTTTGGGTGATTGAAGTTGGTCGGTAAAAATCTCGGCAACAACGTTTCCTGTCAGTTAGCACTATTCATCAATAGATATCTGAAATTGTTAGGAAACTGATTCTTCCCATAGGATTCAATTTTCACATTGAAAAACGTTACCATTAAGTTATTCGGGGTGTGACATACCCTGAGTGGGAAGAGGTATTTAAAATTGATTGACCAATTAATCATTACCGATTTCATGTTAGTCTAATTTTTAGTGTTGATGATATTATAATGATTCGATTTTATTACCTTGCACAAACGTATTGCACTTGAATAAGCTTTTGCTCTTGTCAATAAACGAATTGCTTGATCTATACAACCTTTCAATTTTAAATGATTCCCTAAATGATGACAAGCACCAGGATCATCAGTTTCATTACATATTGTTTCAGCTTCTGATTCTTCACCAAGACAACATAGTACACGTACTAATGATAGGTAATCTTTCGAGTTAAAATAATATGTTTTCGCTTCTTCGAGACGCCCCTGAGCTTCTAGTGTTTTTGCCCACCAACTTTTGATATTTCTAAGTTCAAAAAGAAAAAAATGAATGTTTCAACGTTTAGTCAGTTAATTTATATTTTTTTGAGGTTTCAAAACAGTTAGCGATACAGAATGAGATCATGTCGTAATCATGTTGGAAGAGCCTTATTTTTAAAACTGTCTACACAGTCTTAGTTTTCACTTTTTGCATATCTGGATTTTCACAGTTGAAGTAACAAATCTATTTGAGCTAGACCATCATTAAAACCCTGTAGGCACTGAACGGCCATTTCGTCCTAGTACACCACTCCTCGACATGCGCACCTACGATCCCACACGCGGGAGTCGGAGCCAGGACACTTGACCCTGCGTATGAATCTTTAACCTCTAGATCTATCTATCTATCTATCTATCTATCTATCAATCTATACACAGCAAAAACTAGATTACGTATTCTCAGATTTGTTTTACTTCAACTTATATTACATCCATGCATATTTACCATTGAAAATCTATTCATGTTCAATGAAAATAATGATCAATATCAATACAATTTAACAAAAATGTTTTATTCAAATAAATTAAGTATACTTACTGATCATTTTGTTTATTCACAAATGACTCTAATAATTCTGGATTGTTTTGTAACATTCTAGGAACTTCAAACTGATAAGTTCCTGATTTAATATAACTAAATATTAAATATGAATGATTTTTTTTATTTTAAGAAATTAAAGTCAATATAAAAACAAATGTGAATCTAAAAACGGTGAGACTATAATTTATAGATGAACCAATCAGATTTAGGCGCGAAATTCATTCACCCATTTGGCCAAATATCATCTTGGCATTTTAGCTGATGTCAGTTCGGGATGAAATACCGTAAATCTAGTTCCTAACCTTACCTATGTAATTGTAAATCATAATCCTTATTCTTCAAACTACTTTATAACCCTCATTTAACCCTAGTAAGTAGGGAGACACTCTGAAGGTCACTTTGGTTTCGCTCAAAAATCGTCCATAAATTATAGTCTCACTGTAAAAACATATCAGGATCAATGTTTTAACGGCATAAATTTATAACGAACAAAATGTCTGGTATAATAAAATATAGATAATCACAATTTGATGAAGTTTATCTTAGTATTATATCATTATAATTATTATTAGATGTTGTAAGTTTAACATTGTAAATGAAGCTAGGATATGAAAACTATGGATCATCGGTGATTCCTTCTTCTTGCTTTTTTCTCTGATTGGTTGCTTAACTTAAATTATTCTTTTTATCAAACTGTGTTTTATTATCAATATTCCAATATAAAATAATCAGGAATATTGGAAGATAATTTCACTTGCATCCTTGAATTTACAAAATTTCAAACATTCCACTGTAGAAACCCAAATGGATCCTCTTATCCCGTATGGAATGTTGTATATTGTAGAAATGCCATTATCTTACTCACAAATTAATTTTTAATGACTGTGTTATATTCTTACTCAGATTAGAATAAGTTCATGGAACGTAGTCAGTCAGTCAGCCAACTATAATGTAGGACCAGGCACATATATGCATCGGTCCAAGTTCCCATACCTAATTAGCACACCAAGATGAACACAAAAGTAATAGAAGTAGTTAATTCAGTGGTGGTAATATGCATAAGAAATATTGCGTATAAAGACATAGTACACGAAGAAAGAATTAGTTAGTAGAAAGAAAGATATGAAGCGATTTTAATGTCATAGTTTAAGGGAAGACCAAGAGTCTACACACCGACGCCATTGTGATCGATTCTGATCCATGTCACCCAGAGTCTCTAACCCTTGGTTACGAAAGTCACGCGGACCTCAACCAAGTACTTTGCATCTACCAACATGGCTCAGACTAGAAGTTAGTGACTTCAAGCACTAATGTCATGTTTTGGTTTGGCCACCCGTAAATTCTTCCAACCATCCGCTACACTAACCAGCATTGAGCGTCGCGGTAATCGGTGTTCAGGCATACGTAACACGTGGCCCAATCATCTCAGTCGATGAAGATTCACAACGTAGTACTACTACTTCAGGTCATAATACAACTACATTTTATGAACACAATGAAAAAAAGTTATAATCGAGTTAATCCTATCTATTTATTCTATAACATATGCTTGCTGATATCCAGTTTTACATAGTCTTCATGACACTAAAACTAGTTTATTTTTTTATATATTTATTTATATTGTGTAAGATTTGTGGAAATACCTGACTGATGGTATTTCAATTAATATAAATACTTTCTAAACTGTTTTTAATGATTTGTAATTTTACCTATTGAATTTTTAAATGAATTTTCCTATTCGAATATATCAAGACATTTGTTTAAACTACTGATACTCTCGAAATCAAGACTATTAGTATTTAGTCTTCTGATATAATACATTTTTTTACAGTTATCGGTTTCAAGCTAATACTTCGGGGGTTTATTTGTCATTTCCTTACTGATATACTTCTTTGTTGAATTGAAAATAACTTAATTCCATTATAAAACTAATGAAGTTAATGATATCATGTTTTAAAAGAATAAATTGTTACTTGTTTGTCTTAAAAAAAACAATTTCCATGATTTTGACAAGAAAATGATGTATATTCCAAATGTTAAATGAATATGAATTTTACAAAACTAGCAAAGATCTTTTTATTTCCAGTAAGTACGAAACATAAGTCATTAAGTCAATAGTAATGTGGGCTACTGATGTCGACAGATATAAGTAGTATGTATTATCAATCGGATGTGAAATATCTGACGGCAGAAGGTTAAGAAGATCGGAAAAAAGGAGAACAAGAACCGAGAATGCTTGATGTGGAGAAGGAGGAATAATCAAATCTGAGACAATTGGTTGATATTTTGCAAATGAAGTATTTACTGTATGGCTAACAGATTTTACTGAGCGATTCCTTGATTGTGTTCTCGTTCACTATAATAGGATAATGAAAAATACTGTCAAATCTCATATCATGTGACTGTCTGTTCAAAAATAACTATGTAAGTATTTACTGAATAGATTTTAGTGAAAATGTTGAATTTCTTCGATAAAAATCAAATTAATTAACTGCCAAAAGCTGACAGTATCATCAAAATGACAGATGGACTAGCTTAGAATCCCTGAAAATTTAAATTCCCATCCTACTAATCGTGAAGTTTGATAATATCTACCTTGTACTTACAGTTAAATTTATGATAAAAGGATATTTTTAGTTGTAAATAACCAGTTTTTCTAAAAAGATAATACTAAATAAGATTATAGTGGGCATTTAGAAATAAAACAAAAATCTCAGGATACTTTCGATGATACTTTCAATAAGGACGAATTCAAGCAGCTAAATATTTGACTTGAGAAGCTTTAATTATCAATATCAACAATGTTATGAGGAATTATTTCTTAATAAGTAGAGTAAATTATGAAAATAGCTCATTCTACAGTAGAATATCATAAATATAAATAATGGTCAACCATTTTATCTATAAAACTCATCCTTGTCTCGTCAAGCAACATATTATTTAGTCTTACTACCATCTAAATGAAAACACTTAATGATCTTCAACAAACCTTTTAGAATTCAAAGTATGATCGTTTGTGAGTGTAAATATTAGTACTTAAAAACTGTTTTTTGCTACAATATTATAATCATTGGTATATAGATTTCCATTAGAATAACAGTGTTTAAATGTTTGAAGTCAGTATCTCAACAGATGTTCAAGACAAGTACAGTTCTTTATCACTTTTAATCGGGTAGCTAAACGATTTTAACAACAAAAAAATAATTTTGAAGTAATAAAACTTACTGTTCAATAGCTTGCTGAATGTTACCCACAGACTCCAATTCTTTAGCATAGGCATAATGAATACTACGTAATAACATACGATTATGTTGTTCAGCCGTTATCAAAGCTTTGTTCCAATTACCAAGCGACTGGTGTAAACGAATTACCAAGTCCCAACGATTACATTGAATGAATAGTTGTTCAGCCTCCTCCTTAATAAATTAAACCAACATGAAGTGTTCAGAGTTATCAACCTTTCAAAGTATCATCGTACCATACCTTGTCTAACTAATGTATGAGATATACAAAATATATCATGGATTTTAATATCCATCTATTTTCAGTAAATCAAATACAAATCAGTGTCTCGCGGCAAAAAGTCACATGAAAATGTCTATTTTACACGGATATTTTGAGCCCAAGAAGTCATTATGTAACTCTACGCTAGCTAGTGAATGAATAGTACGGTATGCGATGGTTAGTTTTAAACAAAGTATTAGACCAGCTTCTGTAGATATTTTTACCATAACTTCAAACTACTGACTAAGGCATCTGAATTTATTCTTCGACTTGGTTCTCATCTTAAGCTGTATTCATTAAAATTACAGAAAAAATAATTTTAATGGCATTGTCCTTCTTTGAACTAAGTGCCTTAATCAACGAAACCTTTTCAATCCATATAATGTCAACTAAGGGACGTAATAACAATGCCAGACAAGTAGAACATTGTCTACAAAATTAAATTGTCACAACTATGTGAAACATCATACCGAAAGAAGAAGATGTCTTCTTCATTTCCTTCATAATTCATCAGTTTCAAATCTCATGACATAGCTCCGCTCAAATGAACACATGTTACCTAATGTTACCAAGATTTTGATTGGAAGAGTGTTAAAATCGTCAAAATAAAAAAAAAAAACGAAAAAAAGATTAAAGGATTTTTAAAAGCATGTCACTCATGTTATTTAACAATCAAGAGATTTGTTGGAATACCTTCAGTTTATTAGCTATTGAGAAAAATGTTAAGTAACTTCAAGATCAAGGATTAGACGAGTAATAAACATTTTATAAAAATCTGGTCACCCTTTACAATGCAATTAGTGACAAAAATCAATCCCATTCCTATAGTCAGTGGAAAGTATAAGTAAATCCTTACAAAAAAAACTTTGTGCATAGACCAATCAGTTTACAGAATCCATTATCACTAATTCGCTTGGACTGTTTAAACATTATTTGGGAAAAGTCTTTTGATCTGTTGTTATTTTCAGAGATCAAAAAACCATCTAGGTAGATTGCGTTTGTTACAAAATCTACAGTTCTGTACAGTTATTATTAACAACTACTTAAAAGTAATCAAAATGAGCAGTTTCATTTAGTAAAATGTTCATAGAATAAAACAGTAAATATTAACTCCAATTGTTACCATTAACAAAGAATAAGCTATCAAATACTTAAGAAAATCTTATAAATGTTTTATTTGGAAAAGATTTAATACAAAAACACGCGTAAAGGGGTTTTTGGGAGCTATCAAATATCATACTATGCATAACAAACTAACCTTAGTTAAATAACCATTGAAAACTAGAGAACGGTAAACAGCTTTTTCGCCCCGATTATGTGACTCTTTAGCGATACACAAACTGACCTCATATGTAGTACAGTTGTAAACAATGAACGACTGGAAGTACATTGAATAATACTAATGGTTGTGTTACTAACTGAACATGATATTCTGTGGTTAGATCCCTGACAGTATTATCGACGTGCATTTCTGAGTCCCACATTAAGACAAAATATGTATCTACTGCTTTATATTCCTCAGTGGTTATCTAATTTAAATCATTTAGTGATGTACACCTTAAAATAAAACAAGTATAGTTGTAAAGTAAAAAGATAATAATCATTTTGGACTTCAGAGTTAGGTTTTAATTCTATACTGTTTACCTAGAGATTTAAATTTATAAATCCCTGGAAACAACTTAGATAAAGTTGGATCAGTTTTACATCATATATCAATAACTTATTAGCTGACAAATTATTGTTAATTACTATAATTGTATGATAATAAAGTTCATTTATTTATTTCACGAAAATTAATAAGACTTTAAATACTGTCAAATTAGCAATAACAAATTAGATAACTGCAAAATACTAAACACTAGAAGATGATTTCAGCTTATGTTTCAAATCATATCTTAGAACCACATAAGTGATATCACAAATTTATACATACGATTAAGGACTAAACATATTTATACCTTAGATCACAATCTGAAACAATGATAGTTAAAAAAAGGATAGGAATCTAAAGGAGATTTGCAGAAATCTAAAGAATTTTGTATATATTTTACGTAACCAACTTAATCATCTACTCCAAAATACAGTACTCGCTGGGTAAGAATACAACAGAATAAATCTTAACACGGTAAGAAAACAAAAAATGACATATTTGTCTAGACTAACTGTAACTAATGAAATGCAGATTGTAAGCATCATGAATGAATTCTATCAAATATGGAATTAATGATTAGTCATTTTTAAAAATGACTAATACGACTATTTGTGGTATAACCAGTGATAAAGAAGAATTACTTGCCTACTGATATAAAAAGCGTTGTGAGGAATTAGAAATGCAGCAAACACTCATTCCTTATACGAAATCATTCACTGATACTTTTGTTCATAATGCCTCATCTCGATTCATGAATAAAATGAACTTTAGCCGGATTAAACTATACTAATGATCAGTATCAAAAAGAATTCCCAAAGTTTCTATAAAGAAGGCATACTTAGTGAAATCCAGTCAACTTGCTAGTGAGTCAGATATCATTCCCCGCACTGAATGATGATAGTGCTTTGCTGTAAATTAACTAAATTTGAAAATATGAATCATTAAATTCAGGTTAATTATCTTTAGAAGTAAAGTGCTCTCTCTGTGAGACATAAAAGCCCTTAGTTCATTCTTTGACAGGTGTACAATTATAAGGGAATTCTAAACTATGATATTTAATGTTTTCTGGCTTATAATTTTACTGGAGATAATTTAAACCTATGACGAAAACCAACGACAAAAAAATCTTTCTACAAAGATCTTTTAAAATACTTGAGCAATAAGTAAATCAAAGTTTAACACTTACAGTCATACCAATTTGTAAAGCTAATTCTCCTGCTTGAGCTTCTAATTCTGGTTCTTTACTTTTAAATTCACGTAACATTTTTGATCCCATTGGATTATTTATTTTTCCTAAGCAAACACGAGCAACATCCAATCGACAAGTAGTAACACACATTTTAGCCATATTCTATAAAAAATAATTTTTTTTCAAGAAGAAAAACAGTTTGTTTAAGCGAATTGTATCATAAAGAAAGTGTAACTAAGGTGAAAAAATATGTGTACAAACTCATTCATAAATATATATCTACTTTCCTAAGAAAATTGGGCCACATTTTGAATCAATAGTGTGTGGTCGCCTTCCTCAGAAAATCAAGCCCAATCTTGAAAAATAGCGCACACTCATCGGCAATGCTCAGTTTTGGTTGGACCCTGAACTGAAATGTTTGATTGATCAAACCTATCAATATGTAAGGTGGCTGCGAGTAGTCTGTTTAAACATTAGAACTAGGTTTCGCAGTAGTGAACACTCACCACGATGGCTTACTATGAATCTTGAGGCTACTGATGCTCTCCATGGGATTTAAACCATAGTCACTTAGATTCACAGTTTAAAATGTTGAAAGTGAGTTTTTGAGTCGCGACTGAATTTTTAAGGGATCGAGATATTTACATTTACTCATGTTTCCGTGGTCCTTAGTCCTGATAGAAATCGATCATTCAAGTTATGATTTATTCGCTTTATAAACCTTGTTATAAGGTTATATGAAATATTGGCCTAGAATCCCAATTTAAAAGTTATTTTAACATAACAGACCATACTAATTTTTTTCACAGTTGAATAGTTTCTTTTCTCATAATAACTATGATTGTTATTAATGTCACTATTATTATTTAAATTTTATAGCAAATCACTCAGTACAAAATACATCTTGTGAAAATCTATCAGAATCCACAATATTAAAGGATGATTTGAATGACCCCATTTTTATCAAATCATGATTATCAGTATGAGAGTTTGTGAAGATCACAGTATTTTCACAGTTGAAATCACGAGTCTATCTAAGCTAGACCATCAACGAAAACCTGGAGGCACTACTGAAGAATCTTATACTAGAACAAAACGGTCGTCCGTTTCACCCTAGTATGGAAATCGTCGGCAGTGCACATCCACGACCCTGCATGCGGTACTCGAACATAGGAGCCTCTGTCTCGCGCGCAAACACTTAATCTCTAAACCACTAACCTGGCATCCAACGGTGTTGATTTCTAAATTCAATCAATCCATAACCTTGTGCAACCTTTCATCCATTGCCTGAGGTAAATAACTGTCTCACACCCGATATGGATTGGACTCCGCTGGTCACGGCTACTCTCTAGAACTCCATAAGTTACATCTTGAAGCTAATCATCAGTGATTACATGATTGTAATCAGTATGGGGATTCGTGGTTGAGACTCATACCAGGACAAAGTGGTCATTACGTGCTTCTACGTTCTCACTAGTGGTCTAGCTTAAATCCACTCATGATTCCAACTTTGGGAATCATTATTGATCGGGTTTCGTAGATGATAAAGTCAAACTCAAGTGTGAGCACTGATTTTTTGTATGGTAAGGTAATTAAATAAAATATTTGTTTAACTAAGTCATTATATATTTCCCTATATCAACGAATGATTTACTATAACATACCTGCCAAACTACTGGACTTTTAATCAATTTCATGGCTCTAAATGCAGAATCCATTTCACCTAATGCTAAATAATAGCTGAAATTTAGCATAGCTTCACGTGTTTTCTCATCAGCATCTTCAAGACCAATAAAATTTTGCATTACACATCTATCAATATAATGTACTCTATTCTGAGTTGTTGATTCATCACCATCATTCAGTTCACTATTCATAGATTTCCTTCTTGAATGACTATTGATATCATCATTATCATTCAATTCTTCATCTTCTCTATGCAATGATGTATTCAGATCTAAACCATTAATATGATTACTTTTAATTGTTGATGTACAATCAATTTTATTGATTATGCGACGATCAGATGTAATCTTTTCAAAACGATTTCGATATTGTTCATCAAGAATAAGATGATTTAAATCATACTGAAAAATTGAGAATGAATTAGATTACTACTTTTGATGTATTACACGGGTACACAATAGGATCAACTAATTGAATATTAATGGATGACATTTTCAAATGATATATAGACGAAAAAAGAGCATTTAAAATGGGCATATTAATTTAGAAATAATTGTAACATCAAAGTGACCAAAATAATTAACTTCGAATATCGATACCCTTTTATATTTTCTTAACAACTATTTTTATTGTAAATGAATACGATTTATGTATAATGGATAACATAGACTTCAGGACATCCCTTACATATTTATCTTTACTTTCTCTTGATAGTATGCTAAAACTGTTTAACTTTTTAGGATAACTACTGAAGTATAGAATGTTGGTCAATCTGACTGAAAAGTTCTTTGGTTTTACAAGTCAATATGCATGTGAAGAAAAATATGACAATAATTTACACCTCACTTTGCAGTCATCTGGAAGGCTAACGAAAACTAATATGAACCAAATAGTTGTTTCTCTGTAATCTAGAAATCTTCATCAGTTCAAGCGTTCAATACATTACACATGACCAAACTTATAACTTGCAAATTGACTGGGGTTCTAATCATGACTGGCTGGATTTTCACTCTATGAGTTAAAATTGTATCGTACTTATCGTAGAAATGTTTTCCTAATTTTGAATATCATGAACTGTTTTGGGATAGTGTATATAATCAGCACTATTTTCAACTTTAATGTATCGCATGATGAAGCGAATTTTCAAATTCAGGTTTTGCTAGTTGAATATTACCAAAAAGTAGAATGTCATGAGTGATAGTTTTTTCCTAGTTTAAAACTTTTCAGCATTTCGTTACTAGTTGCCATCGGACAGATTAAACAAAGAGTCCCCAGATTATATAACAACATCCTTTATTGATGGTCACAATGCTAACATTTTCCTACTTTCATCAATTTAAAAAATAGCTAGAATGTTCTTCACTTGTACCATATGTTAATTGTCACCCTTACAATATAGTTAATTTTCGTACTCTTTTGACTTCCCATTAAAACTTTGGGAACTTTACCTCTAAGCAAATTACATGCCAGCCCACAGTTATCATTTTCGCTTATTTGTTTGTTCTAAAAGTAGTTCACGTCAGAGCTTTGTATAAATTTTTTTAATAAATATAGTTTAATAAGGTTTTGCTTGTATAAGCGTAATAAGTAGTAACGTACACGAACAGAAAAATATATGAATGGTACTTCAACACCAATCAATGCACTATGATGAAAAGACATTAGAAATGATCCTTGAATTATTGTATCATTTCGATCTGGACTAATAAACAATGAAACAATCGAAGTAGAAACTTTCGATTTCTAAAGAAATAAAAATGGAGAAAAGCAAAGTAAAATTCATCAATACAAGATTGTACTATTAGTTGTTTGACATAAATAGATCAATGGTTACTAAAATACATTTGTTTCTGGTAGATTTGTTTATCAAAAATACATCTCTTTCATGATAAATTATCCATCAACTACTACATATTTGTTAGTATAATGAACATAAAAGCAGTCACAGGTTTATTATATGTAAATTAATTTTAGTTTAAAATATATCATATTAAAACATCAAGGTGGTTAGTCGAAAACTACAGCTTAAATCTTTGAGGAAAACCAAAACTTAGTTAAAACAGAAAATTCATTGCTTGATTGTACCAAGCCATCATCATATGTTTTATGTTGTAATGAAGAATAATTTCAATTCTTTTATTGAACGAAGAAAATTGTTATCGCAACTATAAAATCAGCTGTACTGCATTGAACATAGAATTAGTTACAAAGTATATTAACAGTTCCAATTAAACAGAAGTAACCAATGAACAATCGTGGAAGTAGTCAAGGTCAGGTTCAATATCTATCAGTTTAAAACTATAAAAACAAACAATTATTTAGCATGGTTTTTTTAAATTTTCATTGAGTATACAACTGTGTGATGTCATCTTTAATATAAACTACAATATAAAACCCAGTAAATTTGGTAAATTAGTTGTGGTGTATTTGATATTTTTACTGATCACCTACATTCAACCAAAATCACATTTTGTAGTTTCAAGTCAACGTCCAACCTTAGTTAGCGAGCCATTTAAATCCAGAAAATACTGGAAAGCTAAGCACCTGATTAACGAACGCTTTACCTGTATTTAGATCACTCGGCTGGTATTCAATAGATCACACTTCTAAATTTAGTCGATTAGAAATGTTCCATGGTCATCATGGTTGAACTTCACTAGTCAGTAAATTCCGCTAAAGAAAAATACAAAGTTCAAAACTCTCCACATCCAAATGTGTTACGAAATAATAACCAATTAATCAAACGCTTAAAACAACAAGATTCCTTTCTACTTTCAACTTTTTGACATAAACAAGGAGTAGTAATGATAATAATTATAATTAAAAGGTCCTTATTTGTTTGTATATCAAATAAAAGCAAAATTTTGGGATGTTTGAGGAGTACGTTGTGAATTATGTCTGTAGATAAAAATGTAATCAGCTAATTCGGACATTAAACACTGAATCAATCTGACCATGGTGTAGTATTGTAGTGCATGCTACTTATGTCTGTCGACGTATTTAACACCAATCAGAATTTTAATGACTGGCAGCAGAAGGTTGAGAAGATCGCATTGAAGTGAACGGGAATGTAAACAGAGAGTTATTGTAATAACAACAGGAATGAAGGAACGATACGTTTCATAATAGTCAACTGATGGATGATATACAACTGAATTATTTTATTTGTAGTTTTTGTACTTTATGAAGACATTCGGTAATTTTGTATTAACTAATAAATTGGTCTTTCCCCGGTGTCTTTACTTCAATAACAGAATACCTTGGATCACTTCAGTTATATGGAATACTAGTTAAGATATGCTAACTCAACCAGCTCATTTTAGACTCTTATTTCGACTGATATACTTTAAAAAGAATGGTTGTCATTTTCATGTTATATATATTGAATTACGGTTACCAGTAGAAAACCCTAATGCACTGAAGTTCAACAGAATGCCAACAATGAGAATCGACTAAAATAGAATGTATTATTTACATTCATCTATCAGCCAATAACATTAATAGCAAGAGAGAGAGAGAGCAGTTTTATTCAATGTAATCTTGTTCAATAGAAAACTGGAGTTTATTACCAGTGATACGTTAAAATATTTAAAGTTGCAAACCAAAATTATGAAAAATTTCTACAACCATACTCATGCGAACATAAGGGGTTTCAAAATAAGACTGATTGAATCTAAATAATAATAAAGGATAAAGGCTTATACATTTTTTTAGCCCAATAATCTTCAAACTAACACTCGGTAAATTTTGACCAAGAAGATATTCAGAATACTTTTATAAATGTACAAAACAAATCCATTTAAAATGGAATTGTTGATAAGAAAGCAACTAAACTGACTAAGGATAAACTAACACCATACAAAAAAATTCATTTGTAAGTTATTTTGTATTTTTGGTAAATAATTCATACCCTTTTACTAGATGATCGATTATCCACAGTAGTACATTGATCAGTATCATTATCAATTCTATAATTAATTCCAGAATGTTCATTATTTACTTTTTCAAGTACATTTAATTTAGATTTTAATATCGGATGATCAGGTGAGATCGGTGCAGCTTCTACAACTAACATTCTTGATTCATATTGATCCCAATAATGATGTTTTGGCCATCTTCTCTCAATAAGATTTGTACTATTTAAACGGATTAGATTTAAATTAACTGAATATTTATCACTTTCAGGATTGTTTACTAAAGTAGATAAACCAATATAATGTAATGAAGAAAATAATTAGCATAAATAAAAAAAACACTTAATGGATATACCTTCAAATTTTATCAAATCTAATAGTTTTTATCAAAGATCTACAATATCAAGGAATAAAGAACAATTATTTCAATTTACATCGAAACAGCTTCTGAATAAGAAGAGCACTTAAATCTTATGACTTATAACAAATAGATTTTCATTTAGCAATTCGACTGTTTAACCTCCTAGTTTTTATTTTTCTAATAACAATGTAGATATCCCACTATCCATTTCAAGCCAAATTATTAAAATGAATTGGAATTGACGTTTAAGTGATTTTTGATTAAACTGAAGATAGCTTTCTCTGTTTTACAAATACTCCTCAATTTTTTTAGGCAACTTTCAGCAGATGCTTGTTTTTGGTGATCACTGTCGGATAACTTACCAACCACTAAACCAATTTATTTCCTACTTTGTTCAGTTCTGAAATCAGTATACAACGATTGATTAAACTGTATAGCTGTAAATGTCTTGCAGACAGGGCAGTAACATACTATGAACAGTGAGGTGAAAAATTTACTTAAACTTAATTCATGGAACCATCTTTGACACTGAATATGTAGATAGGTACTCATTTACCAAATTTATACGGACTACCGAAGGTACACAAACCGGATATTCCATTGCGACGAATCTGTGATACGTACAATTCCCCTTACCATACTGTAGCAAAGAGGTTGGTTACAATTTTAATAGCACACCACAAAGACCTAGTGAAACATAGTATTAGCGGTGTATTCCTTTGTAACGACCATAGTGATCGGGTAAAGACACTCAATAGATTTAAAGAAGTTCTTCCGTTTAATAAATTCACATGTGGGGAAGAAGATAAAAGAATATTCTCTCTAAATGTTCTTTTAACAAGGATAATAGATGGTTCATTAGGAAGAAACTTAGACAAGAAAATTAGTTGAACTGGCTAGTAAACAAATTTTATTAGTTTTGTTCCACTAGAATATAAAAAGAACCTGATCAAGGCACCTCGTTATAGAATCAAAACAATTTGCTCGCTAAATGTGGTTGAAGAAGAAACAAAGGTACTGAGCACTACTTTGAAATAAAATGGATATCCGGAAAAATTTATAAACAAGCATTTAGGCATGAGAGAGCATAATGAAGGCTTAACTGTAAGCAAAACGTCTCTGTATATACGTCTACAATTTAGAGACGATACAACCAGCACAATGCTAATATGAAAGTTGCATAGAGCAATCCAAAGAACTTTGAATCCAGGTAAACTGCAATTGTTGTTTTCCACATATCCGACGGTCACTCGGAGATTGAAGGGTAATTTACCTAGACTACCCGCTTCTTTGTGTATCTATCAATTCAATTAAAGCAATTCACATTGGCAAGTATTCTAGAAACTTGTATTTTCGTGCTTGTGAATACTTCCAAGTGTGAATAAGCAAAGGTTTAGTTAAAATTGTTTACAGCTTGATGTTAACTCATTTAGTACAAACGCGTCATACAACCAACATGGAGTACTCATTTACAATAAAATATTGTGTTAAGAGCTTAAATCTGCTTGAATCCGTTAAACTAAGAATCCTTCGGATGGCTGAAAAAATAGCTAGTCAGACCAAAACGTTGAAACTTTGCGTCCAGAAGATATATGTTCAACTGCTCTTTTTACCTTGGTTAATTTCAGGCCTAATTAGTTAATAATCATTTTGATGTATGGTGACGTAATTCGACTAATATTCATACAACCTTTCTCTTTGTATTTTCACAGCTTAAACGTATTCACATATATTATTATCATTATTAATAAAACACTTCCAAACGTTTTTCAGAAATTTATTCAGCATCCAGCCCTATTTATTAAGTCGTACCCCATTCGTACTATTCAACATACCACGTGATTTCTGATTTGTAATTACATTATTACCTCTCTCATGCCATGTTAACCATATTTATTCCGATCATCAGTTTCAAAGTTTCATTCAATGTACAACATTATTCGAGTCAACACCCTGTATTAGTTGTCCCAACATTAACGATTATATTTTATTTGACAATCATAAATTCACATGCTATAATTCTAAAAGATGTAGTTTGCCTCAAACCTGGCCACTTCTTAGATTAATAAGTTGACATATAGATGCAGAACCTGATAAGAATTTATTGAAAGGAATATTTTTTGTTCATATATTTCATTTATTCACCATCGATATTCTGTTTTTGAGATAAACTGAAGCACTGTCATATTGATTCACATCACTCACTATAACTACAAGTGACACTCATAAGTATAAACCGATTGGGAAACTTGTTTATTGTATATCATATCTACCAAACTTTAATAGTCAGGATACAGCATGGTCACGCACAAGGAAATTATATTCCACAGATTTTCGGCTCTCTACCTCATCAGAGCCATCAACAAAATTATTCCTGTAAATGAACCAACAAATGTAACAACACAGTGCTTTCTGCTTCATATCAAAGCAAATAACCAACTTCTTAGTGACTTCACAGTTTCATTCAAATTTAAAGGTTGTTTATTGTCGCATAACAACAAAGTTTCTCATGATTAAGTAAATTATCTCCCCAATTGCAAATAAACATATCATTTATAGCTTTCAAATGTAATAAAAATGTCATTCATATTTTACAAATACACATATAGTATGTTTTATGAATACTTACTTGTACGAGGTATATCATGAATAGAATTTGTTAAAGTTTCGAAAAAATTGAAACATTTCAATTTATCTTCATCTATATGATAAATATAAATATTTGGATCTGGAAACCATTTTTTTAATAAATTTTCTTCTTTATTCATAATTCCATTTATGGTTCTTTCCATAACTTTGTCATTCATTTTATCTAATTGCATTTTTGTTAATGAATCCATAGAATTTAACCATAATAATTTACATAATTCTCCATTGTATAAAATTTCTATTGTAAATGCTATTGAATTACCAGAATTGTTAATTGAAATCCATGGAATATTTAATTCATTGATGAACAAATTATCTGAATTATGTACTAATGTAATAGTCTCTTGTAAGATGTAATTGAATGGTTAAATGTTGAAGTGTTCTGTGATATATAATTTAATAATTTACATATAATTAATTTAGTTAAAGACTTTGTTGTATTCGTTGATTTGATTTCTCTAAGTTTAAAAAATATATCAAATAGAAATAGAACAAATAAGCTTAATTGCAATTTGTATATTAAAGAATAAAATATGGCAGATTGAAGAATTCTATTATTAAGATGCCGGTTCAATGATCTGATAGTTAAGCGCTCGCGTGCAAGACTGATAGATCCTACGTTTGAATCTTGTGGTGGGGCGGGATTGTGGATGCGCACTGATGAGAAGTCTCACAATAGGACAAAACGGTCGTCCAGTGCTTTCAGATTTTCCATGGTTCTCTAGCTTCAATTGGCTCATGATTTCAACTATTGAAATTACTAAAATCTTCATAAAACCACTTCTGACACATAAATAGTAGTATAAATATTAATATTACTAAGAATGAATGATTGTTTAAAAGTATAAAACTAGAAATTAAGGTATCCAGAATGTCAGAAGAAGGTTTTTTGTGGATATTATAGTAATTTCAGTGGTTGGAATCATATGTTGATTGAAGCTAGACCACCACGAAAAACCTGGAAGCACTGAATGGAAACAGATTTCTTGTATTAGTAGCAACTACATAGAACTTGGGTGAAATGTACTCAAAAAATCAAATAATACGTTTGAAACATTTTAAGGAATTAGTATAGAAAAAGGGTCTTGGGAAGATGAAAGAGTTTTTTGTTAAGAAATAATAAGAGTTAACAACTTTGAAAACGTATCATAGTTTGTGACAGACATCTTAAGAATCTTTGTTAAGGAGATTGATGTGATTGAGTTAATTCTAGTATTTATTCGCAAATATTATTTAGAGAAAATTGTAGAGTGGTTTTTCCTATATTTGAACAATCATAAAAGACCATCTTCGTTATGAACTAATGTTCGATCCAGTTACTGATGAACGTTCTTGAGTGTTCGACACCCTTCTTACGGAGACGCAAACATCTGCACCTGAAGTTCTGTTGCAAAAAGCTGAATAATAGTGTACACTATCCATAAGTACATGTAAGTTACTGGACTTATACAAATAGGGACATATTTATAGTGAACTGTAATCGGTGGATAATAACGCTTACCAGCACGGATATTACCTGAAACTATTACTTACTATATAATCTTGAAACACCGTGTAATTCCTCAAGACTTTCTTAATTTATAGCATTTAAGTGAGTAGAAGATATTTGAGGTCTAAATAGGGATTTTTATGTTGCTAAACTCATCCAACTTAGTGTCACTCCATTAAGATTTCATTAAATACTAATGAACTAGCACTTTGAAACTTCTTGAGGTTTTTTTCAAGACATTTATGACTTTAGTGACTCCATTCTCCTGGCTAAAGACACTTTATCTATAGTAGTTTATATTTAACTCTCCAAATTTAATATGTGGCAACATTCTTCAAACAATCATCATACACATTGCTAAAGTATAATGTGAAGGAAGAATGAGATAAATAAAAACACTGGAAAGAAATATACTCTTGAAATATTGATTTTGTACCAATTTGTCGATGTAGGTTACCATAACAGTAAACATGAGAACAAATGTAAATATATCTAGAAAGAATATATTTATTGTTTAAAGATAATTTCTGTATAACCATTTGTTTCTTTCTGAACATTGCGCTAAGGATTTAAAATTTTTAAAAATGAGAAAACTGCTCATTCTAACAACAAAGTTTTCATGGTATATTTATAATATCATCATTATTTGTATCTAGTTTATCTTAAATTTTGATTAAAACAACTATTGTCTTCATTTTTTGATTGAGATCATGAACCGATTGGTGTTAGACCACCGTTGAAAACCTGGAAGCACTTGACGGCCGTTCCGCGCTATTGTGGGACACCTCAGTAATAGAACGAAACGGCCGTTCAGTGCTTCCAGGTTTTCAATGGTGGTCTAACATCAATCGGTTCATGATCTCAGTCAAAAATTTAACACTCTCCACAACCCTTAATCTGATATAGTTTTCATTAATTATCGGATTAATAATTCTGTTCAATCAAATTCCATTAGCTTTACTTCCATCTTTGATATTCGTTCGTTAAAACTGAACATTTGGTTTTAATTTCAAAATAGATAGTATAGAAGCAATCTACTCAGGATGCTCGTCTACCAGAAGAGACTAATCATTCGCAGATGTTAACAACAATGGGAAAATACAAACCTTGATGGCTGAATTATAGTCTAAAACTTGGAAAAAAAACCATTATCAAGTGGAAGTTAGAATTTTAATCAGTATGCGATCTTGAACATTGAGCTTGCGAATGTCTACAATAATTAGACGGTCCTAAAATCAAACAAAATCTTTAAAACATTTGCTAGTATAGTGAACACTAAATTGACAGATTATCAGGGTGTTACATAAGAAATAAACATTTGAATTTTGATTTACCTTCTGTTTAAATCAAATACTCGTATTTTGTTTTGATCAGTAAGACATGCCATATAATTGCCACATTGAGCAGTCATAGTAATACTGCCCTCTATTTCTGTAAAACTGATTAACTGTTTAACACAGCCCTAAAATATTGAATGAAATACAGCTTTAATGTTCAATACAATATCCACTGAATAAATGTTTAAGTAAGTTTGGACAATGGTCACGACATAATCGGAAGTAGTAATAACAATTGTGTTTAAGATTGAAACGATCATCATTAGACAAACCTACTGAACAAGCGTTCTATCCTTTTAACGTTTTCTCAGTAATAGACCAAACTGGAGTTTTTTTTAGATTGTGAACTAAGGAGCTTTAGATGCTGCATAAACATTTATCTCCGACATTTTTGTCAAAAATCATCTCTGACTCAGTGATTTGATTATATAGCATTCTCTGAACATTAGATTTGTAAAGAAGGTAAGAAATACTGATCTTATATATCCCAAACTGTCGACGCTTTTAATACACTCGTTAAACATTTCAGTTGTGATAAGATTACAACAGATATCTTGCTACTACACGTCGAGATCATCTGTGCTAGAAATTTCAATTGTAACCTGTATTTCGAAGAAAATAAATGTTATTGAGATCATGAAGCAATCTATGGTATAAAACAACTGAAAACTTGTAAGCACTGTGCAGCTGTTTTATTCTAGTGATCACCCAAGATCTGACAACTGAGGACCAAACGTAGGACCTACATTTTCGTACAGTTCATTGACACAGGACCCTGTGTTAATCAAGTTTAATTTCAGTCAATCCACAATATTACGTGATTATCTTCTATTGTCTTCAATGAGTACCTTTTTCACACCCAATACAGTTACACTCCACTATTCATGGCTTTTCACTAGAACTCTGGAAATTTTCTCACTATACTAATCTCTATTGAATAAATAAAGGTTTATTATAACACATTTCATGAAGTACAATAAATAGAAAATGGTACGATAATATTTGTTAAAAATTAATATTTGGGAATACAATTTTAAGATCTTTCCATTTGGAATTTATCTTTGATTTAGTCGAGATATAAAGAACAGAAATAACTTTAACAATGTATCATTGTTATTTTAATGTTTACAAAAAAAAAGAAAAAAAACGTTGTTTTTTTCTTTAACTGAACTAATTTTGAAATTACAAAAAAAAGAATTACCTCCAAATTACGAACTTGTAATTTATATGGTTCAATTGTAAATATATTATACTGATACATTCCAATCAATTTATATTCACATGGGAAATTAGCTATTAATTACAATTACAAATTAAATAATTAATAATTAATTATCAGAAGGGATTTTGTGATCTTAGTAATTTCGATAGTTGAAATCATGAGTCAATTGAAGCTAGATAACCATGGAAAACCTGGAAACACTGGACGGCCGTCTCATCCCGCTGTGGGACTCCTCAGAAGTTCGCATCCACAAACCCACATCGCAGGACTCAAACGTAGGACCTATCAGTCTCGAACGCGAGCACTTAACTATTAGACCACTGAGCCAACATTTAACGGTGCTAATGTCTAACTTCAACCAATCCACGAAATTGCGCCACCGTACATCATTGTCTTCAGCGAGCTGAAGAGTCCCATACTAGGACGAAACGGCCATCCAGTGTTTCCAGGTTTTCCATGGTGGTTTAGCTTCAGTTGACTCATGATTCCAACTATAGAAATTATTAATTATTTTGATATTTGATAATTAGTAGAAATAAATAGAAAAATTATGGAAATCGATAAGTTACAAAATGATTATAGTATATAACAAATTAAATAGTAAAATGTCAATACTACCTAAAATAAACTGTTATATATCAATGAGAATACTGAGTGGTAACTGTTGGGATCTATTTATGATCTAATATTATACATATTTTTATTGTATAATTGTTAAGTAACTAAACTGTTTATATTCCTGTTCCTCTTGTTATAAGCTTTATTTTGACCTATGAACTTTTATTATACGATTTACCATTCTTGAGTTCTGCCCAGTCTATCGATTACTATTTCCCACATCCACAGCCATATCTGGTTAAATCTTGTACAAATGTTATTTTCCGTTTTATGGTACGATGTGGTCTGTTTGGTTGGCATATAAACCCAATATGTTTGAAATACATGATTCATATTGCAGAGGCTGTGATTGGTGTTCTTAATTTAACAGGCAGGGCTAGGCAGGAAGCAGGACCGATAAAGATTCTAGACTGCTCGTACTTGTTTTATGCGTCATTGGTACAGTCGATAAATTACTGTTCTTTAATCGACGGTATCATTACGTTATATATTGATAGGGACACAAACCCACAAGTTATAACATAAACATACTTGATATTTCATATTATAAAGTGATCTACATTTGTGAACTAATTATTTCATTTATTTAATAATCAGACTTATCATTGTATTATTTTAAAAACTTCAGACTATTTGCAAATGACGTGTGTATTTAACGTTGGAGAAATTTTGAAAACTATGGTGTCTTGGACAGTTGTTTTCAGCTCGTAACTACTATACCAATAGATCATTTATTTGGAATCCAGCGATCCATGATAACATGTTCGGTACGTTTGTAATTATCACTTAACGACATCAATTATATTTATTTAACTTTTGATACAGCTAAACGCCACTATATATTCTTCAAGTTAGTCACTAATAAGCACATGGTTATTACTAGTCAAGCAGAGTTCTCGGTGGTTATTTTATTTAAAGTTAATTTATATAACATGAATTTGGTTCATTTTATTCTAAAACTTATCTACAAGTAAAACCATCTATATGAATATTTTGACAAGTTGAGTAACTTTTCATCATATATATATATATATATATATATATATATATATATATCCTGTTCGAAAGATTCGCACTTAAAAAATCGTTAATTCAGGTAGAGATGTCATAAATAAATACTGAGCCGTTTGCTGGTACCATAATTTTGTTAAATTTAAAAAGTTTAAATCATATCATTTATGGTTGCCGGAAATAACTAAAGATCTTTCTCAGGGTTTAGCATAGACAATTATTTTTATAAAAAGGACCAAAATTATATTTATTAATCTGCATTATCGGTAGTACCGTAGTTGTGAATATTGAATCATATAACTTTATGAATTCCTACTTCACGTCTATAATAGCTCTGTAATACTTTTTAAAAAGCCTGTAATAAGTATCTACACTTGTTTCATTATTAGGTGGCCTTTATTAACTACACCATTTCTCTAACAATATGTTTAGATGATTTTCTCTTGAGAACTCATGTCTAGTGATTGGTATTTTCATGACAATTGTTTTGCTTTGAATCGAAAATGAATTTCTTCAATAGTGCCCCGAGTTTTATCTGACTTTCGAATATTTCAATTTTACCAGTGATCCTTTTTATTGTTGTTATTACGTGATTTTGATTATCAATTTTTTCTTTGGCATTAAGCTATTTTCATATACTTTTTAAGAAACTTCTCTCCATGAATTTTTATATTATTTAAGATATAATTATTCACCTATTCGATCATTTTCTATAATTCTTCCATAATGATTTCTGTTTTATCATTCTTTATTGATATGAACATTTCCAATATTATGATACAAAGTACTAACACACCAGCTTTTGATAATTTATACTGATGGGTCCTGTATTCTAATATCGCGGTGAGCGGGATCGTGGATGCGCACTGCTCAGGAGTCCTACAATAGGACGAAACGGTCGTCCAGTGCTTCCAGGTTTTCTATGGTGGTCTAGCTTTAATTGACTCATGATTTCAACTATTGAAATTACTAAAACCTTCACAAACCCCTCCTAATTATAAGGAACTCATAAGAAACCATCAAATGAAATAAACTGCTACGTTTGTTCTCTTAGCTCTACCCAAATTTACTAACCAAGCTGAAAATCGGGTCCAACAAAAATTAACATTCGTATTTTAACTTTAAAATAAATAAGGAGAAAAAAGAATAGATTTAACTGCAGCTTTAATAAATCCATGAATAGTATAATGAGCTACAAATCAGCCAGTTGATGTTAATCATTGATTTGTTTCTGTAAAATGATTTTTATACTTTAAAGTTAGAAGTTGAACTTACTTAGGTGGATTATGCAACCTTTAGTGGACTGTTTATAGACAAAAATATGATGACCATTCCAATATGTAACATGTTCCTATGATAGAAAAAAAAAACCAAATACATATATAGTGATTTAATTTATATAGTTTCAGTCAACGAAAAATGAAGGCACAAATATTCAAGATGAAAATACCAAACAAGAATTTTATGAATCTATAGATGCATTAAACAACACGTAATATCTTAAAAGATGTTAAACTGCAAAACAAAGATGTGAAAATATGTTTCAAATACTGATGAAGTCTAGATATATCTTAAAATAACTCATCATCAACATTGTGAACTACCGAAACATTCGTCAAATACAGAAATAGTAATGTGATAAACAACGTAGACCAAAACTTCACAATTCATATCTGGATATCAAAAGTATATAAGCAAGATACATAGTGTGAATAAATTAGTCATAAGGAATACAATCCAAAAGAACCAGTGAAACCGAGTTCTAAATAAATGGCGTAGTGTTCATAAATTAAACATATGCAGGAAGATAATGAATACGTCTGTTAATGTCGGTGATCGATTTTGAGCCTTACCATTCAAGGTCCCCAAGGTCTGATTATGATTAGGTCGAGGTCCCCAAAAAAATTACCTAGATCTCACTACACCATAATAAGTAAGTTAAACTGCTGACGACTTCACGAACCGGTACCGTGAGTTGACTCAGGTTTACATAGCTTTCATCTTACTTGCTCCTAACTTAGGCAAAATTGTACGCTTGAGTGTGCCATGGAGTATGAACATTATTGAGTCAAAAAAGTGGCCTCATACCTAGGTCCAACAAAATCAATGTGTTCCCATGCTTTATCCGTATTGAAAATATAAGTCTTTTTACTGTATACCAGTTCTTAGCGTAATGAACTTCATTCACTTAAAATAATACCTTAACTCTAACCAAGTTATAGATTCTCCAGAACTTCTATAGCTTTAGGAGGGATAATAAATTTATTTACATGTTCAACCAAGATAAAATCATCCAGGTGACTTAAGTAGAGATTCTGATTCGAAATTTACAATTTCCCAAAAAATATCATTTAATTTACACAAGTCAGGTCGAATTTTTTAATTCATTACCATGGTCAACAGTTGAACTAAAGCATATCAAATCAATATCCGAAATGATCCATTCTTTTTTATGTCTAGAAAGGCATATAATGGGTATTAAAAGGTTGACTGGAAGTAGTAAACGGTGGGAGATGGACTACACGAAGATTTTATTACTGAATAACTTTTAGTACCCTAAGAGCAGTAAATAAAAATGTTGCCAAGTTGAAATATTTGACAGAAAATTGACGTTAAGCCGGCTAATAACATTTCATGTTGTAATAAACGATGAGATATTTGTTAATATTCTTTGAATTATTATTGCAGACATTCCAGCTATACAGAGGACAGATCTTGGTTACCAGTAGCTGTTATCACCATCTAGCATCAAATCAAAACTGAACTCTAATCAACTACCGACCGTTTTGCACGAAGAAAAAAAGCACATGGATTATAAGCAACACAATTAACACATTTTGTACAGAATAATCTAAAACATACTTGTGTGCAATATACAGCCTTAATTTGGTCTTCAACCTGCACCTCGTACTCACAAAGCAAACAATTGTCTTGACTAATGAAGCCAGAAAAATTCTGATTAATATCTTTACAAATCTCTAGTTGTTTTGGTTTGGTTATGAAAGATCCGCGGCAATTCTCGGAATTTTCATCTTCAATCATATTCATTTTCCCTTTTATATTCTCAGTAGTATTGTTTATTATCGATATATTCTTTGAAGCGCTTGTATTTGTTTTGTTTACACGTTTATTATATATTGTGGTAAGTACTGCCAATGATCTTGAACCAGTTTGTACAACAGCACATCCGTATCCATAGAAATGCGTTTGTGGTGATTGCCGTTGAAGTATATACACACAAGACTTGGTTTGGGTACCTGAAAGTTTGATAGTGAGTTTGATATTTTACCAAGCACCACCAGTCCAGTTATCAAATAAATGATATGTTCAATGTACTTATGTGACTGAAAAAACCTGGGGACTTTATGGCATGTGTACTATGGTGACTTTGGAGTACTATCGATTTAAATCAACTATTCAGTAAAATATGATCTTAGTTACCGTAAGCTTAAGTTTGAATAAGTTTGCCAAAGAGTTAGCGATATAATTACTCCGAACTTTGTAAAGATAAGTGACTATCCCAAAACACTGACGAATCACTGTTTTTGCAGTTTGCTACCTTTAAAAGATAAGTTCAGTTGGTAAGCTGTACTGAAAATATATAATATTATCTAAGCGTGATCAGAAACATTATAACATTAAAAACTTGATAGACAGAAATAACAAAGAAAAATAGGTCCTATTTAAATAAAACTAGTAACACATTAGGAGTGTCCGTCTATACAGTTAAAAATTACCTTGGATTTCATATGGCTTTTCTTTTGACTGATGTGGTATGAGCGTAATTGCTAACTTTTCCTGCTGACAATCCCAGGCTAGTAAATGCGAATGGTATTTTAAATCCTCTGACATTGAAAACGATTCATCTTCTTTGTTTAACCAAAAGGTACTTGGTTGTGGGTGCCAGCTGGTCTCCGGTGTTTTTTCTGCCAAAGTGTTTGTGGAACTAAAAAGTTCATAGCTACCTATGTAGTCACAGAGATTTTGATTTGACGTCAAATTTGACCTCTGAACGTTAGACAAATATTTGGGTGATTCCATTTCTGTACAGTATTGCCAAAATCCCACCATTCCATTGTTAAAACTTGCTGCCAGAATACCTTTCGTAAATCCCAGAAAAACAGTTTCGATTTTAGACATAATATTGTACATAAACTACATAAACTAGAATCCTGATACATATGAGCTGATTTAAAACAATTACAGTATTACTTCACTATGTATAGTTAATCCAAGAGTTCATTTTCGCACCGTTTTCTTGAATCTTCCCAATAATGTTTGGGACTGCAATTGATCAGGCTCTTATTGGCATATGTGCATCCCGTGAGGATTGCCTCGTTATTGCCTTGAGCCATAGGCGTTTTGAGAAACGATGGAGTGGCTAGTAGCGGAATTCAGGATTCAGTAGCTTAATGGATAGCGTAATGGCGTTTGAAGAGAATGGTATGTGGTTCGAATTCCTGAGTGAGCATCATCTCTGAGATGTAGGTATATCTAGCTGACAAATCCCAAATAAGACGAAACGTGCGTCCTCGATTTCACTGCCAACCATCATCCATCTTTGCCTATAATCAATACATTAGTTTTGCAAACAATTTTTCTAATAACATATGAGACTTTACCTGCTGGAATAGTGAGCGAAAATAATATAATATTTGTAAACAGTTTCTTTATCCCTGATTCACTTTGTAATAAAATAAATTAAGTCTTTCCATCATTCATTATAAAATTACGGCAAACCAGCCTTCCGCTCTTAATCAGTCGATAAATCATAAGGGACATAAGATCTGGCATATACACGTATAGCCACACGTTGTCGCAATATATCAGCACAACGGGATAAAGTTATAACGACAAGTGATAAGGCAATAAAAATAGTAACACCATCAACGGTAGTAAAAACTACAATCTGAGAGGAAAAGGTGAACCCCATTCTTAGAAACAATAACCTTGTGTTATAGATAAAAGAGAACCGTCTGATGCTGATACGACGCCTTAAGAGCCATACTTTGCTTTACAAAACAAAACCTTCATGAAATGTTTCCCATGCAAATTAGCATTGTTGTATAACTATTTTTCTTACGCTACCACTGTTTTTGTTTATGATACAATTTCAGTTGATTTAATGTTAGCATTAATCGTACTACTGCTACTTTATCTAACTAAAAATCAGCTATTTAGATTTAAAATCGAAATTTTACTTTAACAAAGAAACACAAAAATCGTATATACACATAATAATCTGTACAAATCTATTTTGATACCATACACTACGTTTTTAGAATAGACATATGTCACAAAAGTAAAATTTGCAACTTACAATATGTTTCCGAGTAAGAAACACTGATCACCTTCAGTTCACTTGTACTGCTTTTGGAAATAAGCATGCAGGGAGCTAAGGTGTAGTTATCGGCTCTTTCGACATCCCATAGTCTAACATTTGTTTCTCCAAGTGCCATAGCAAGCGTAGTTTCTCCAGCCCATGTAACGGACGGTTGATTGCACATTGCCAAAGCCAGTTTCATCTAAAAGATGTACAAGTATGTTTTTTCTTTATTACCAAAAAACAGCAGCAAAATACTTTGTAAAATGCAGGTAAAACTGACCGGTGAGTAAGTTAGAATAAGTGCTTTCAATTCATTTTCATCCCGTTTTACATAGAGCATAACGTTTTGTTATTTATTTCTTTGTACTGCATTAGCTTAAATATGACAATTCTCCGCAAGTAACCGATTTTGCGGAAATAATAAAATATCTCAAGAAATATTCCAATTTGTGTGAAGCAAATTATCAAATACACTAAATTACAATCGTATTATAACCACTGTGAAACTACATCTTGCCCATTTTTCACCAAATAAATTAAACAACTACTGTCTATGCAAGATATTATAATGAAAATCAAGCCAAAACCATGCGAATTAATTAACTGCGTCTATAGGCCGTGTTTAAAAGCAAACGCCTTGAGTCTTACTGTCATAGATGCTACCTTTACATATTCATCCATATTTAACCCGATAATTTTCCTACAAATTGATGGTTTATAGTGATAGCTTAACGATAGCCTGCTTGTGCAATGTTCTATACCACTTATCTATCATTTGTATCATGTAAAATTCTGCGTCCTTGGTTTATAGTGTTTCGAATAGCATCAGAAGTTTTTTTATACTAGAATAAATCGATGATTTTTTGACCAGTTTGGTTGAATTAGGTGATGGATGTCCTTGAAGTTGCTATGTAAGCTAATATCTCATATGGTCGCTAATCGGACAAAATATACAAAAAACAAGTTTCAAGTAGAAAATTTACATCTAAATAACAATTTCTCTAATAATTAACTAATAACAATTCGAGAACTGTAACTATATGGAGCCTAGTCAGTTGTTATATCTCTCTTAAAATACCATTTGGTCATGGTAAGACCAAGATGATGAACATTTTTCCGATAAAATAAATTTTTCCTCATACGTAAACTCATACTTTATTCGTCTGGCAGTAATTTTTAATAACTATTGTGTTTGATGATTTAAACCTGTGACGTATATGATGGTAAAGATAGTCTAATATATTATTACAATAAGAATCGTATTACTCCAGATGCAACGGAACCTGAGTAAAATGTGAGATTTCGATTAATTTGAACTTAATAAATTTTGAACAGAGCTATAATCGGGAACCTCATTTAAAAACTATACAATCTGAGATATTTTCTGATCTTGCATGCATATGAACTATCACAAAATATTAAGATTTTAACGGTTCGAAGGACAAAAAGCACGCTTATCATGGATCATTTTCAGTTGATCATTTAACAATCTAAAGTTCTCAGTTTTCTTGTACATACCAGCATATTCGCAACTCGGATCGATCCAAGACTTTAGAAATTCCTGAGTTTTAAGGGTGAATATATTTTATCTGATAGTGAGCAAACAATAAAACAGCTTGATAAGTTAGTATTTCTAAAACCACACTGGACTTTTAAAGAAGTTCTTAGATTATAGATAATAGTGCCCAAAGAATAATCTTTATTTACCTTTGTTACTTCCTTGATTGATATTTCAGAGTTTAGCTTGATATGATAGTGATATAAAAGACCTTTCTCAGTGACGGCCAACAAAATATTTGTGCTTTTGTGAGAAATCATATTTAAAATACATCCTTCACAGCATGCTAAGTTATTGGCTCGACTCACTGCAATCTCATTCTCTTTCGATCTATCGTACTTAATGTACATTATACGTCCTGTAGACCTTTGCGAGTTTACGTAAAATTATTAATTACCATCGTAGCATCCAAAGAGATAGAAGCCTAGACACGAAAACTTCATTATGTTACTTGATTTACATGGAGTTTCGGTGACGGCGGATTCAGCAAATTTATTTCCTTCACTGGAAAATTCTATTGAGTATATACCACTTTTATTACCTAGAACTTGAATACAACGGTGCAAGCGTTATATATGAACTTAATTCATCGGGATTTCGGGTACTGAGCATAAGAGCACATGATATATTTGTGTTGACTTTCAGAATGGATATAGGCTTTGCACCAATGTCTACATCTTTATGCCACCGGAAAACATAAACAGATCCTTTATTGTCTGTTGCAAACACAGAGTACCCATCAAAAGTCCAAACTAGTGACATCACAGACCCTTCTAGTTTATAATCCATATCGAAAGCGTTATGCTCAGAATAGTAACAAACAGTCGTACAGCCATTACTCCATCCAACCAATAATACTAACTCATAAGGATGCCAAGAAATACACGTAGGAATACAAGGCCTTGTAATGGTTGCATCTTTACAGTTTGGGACCTGAATAATTAGTAATGTTTGTAGAAATTTACTTTCAGGGCCAAAACTGTAACTTCACCTGACTCTTTTCCAATATGTGATGCGACCGCTAAAATAAATGTGCGAGGATGCCATTTGATATCAGTAATTTTTCCAGAGAAAATACCTAATTTCTCACTCAAAAATACTGACATCGTGACCTAGAAAAATATCATAAAAACAGCTTAGCAACAAAAACGTAGTAATTAGTTATTAACATGATTAAACAAAACTTCTCAAAACAACTGACGAAGGTTCCTTTAAGTTAAATCATATTAAATGCTTCAGTGTTCTTTGCACACAATTAAAATTTCATTTTACAACGTGATTTTCGTATTTTCATCCACAGACATCGAGTTAATAGTAGCAGAGAACTCCTAAAATGATCGACTTTTTGTATATTTGCAACTATTTATGACCGTTTTATCGTAAACGGATACTTTGGATAAATGTGGTCAGTTAGTGGCTGTGGGCACATTTCTGTACACTAAATGAGATACTTGTATTCTTGCAGTTAGTCAGCTTTTATAAAACTTATTTGAGCGGTCTGTAGAATTATACCATCTCCGTCTGGTCCTTTGTATAAAGTTCCTGACAATCATTGTGAGTATCCTTCCCGTTTTCCTTCGTGATATTATTTTTAAAATATTCATTTATTAACATTTTTATTCGGTTGCGTTCAGTCTATTCAGACATCTAACTGTGAAGCTACACTAAGCTGAGTTGACCGAGTAGAAACGAATGAATTGTGAAAAACGTTGAATTATTCTATAAACATTCGTACGTATGCCTCAAATGTTAAATATTACGAGAAATTATATCAATAATACTGTTAAATTCAGATCACTGTAGAATAGCCCGAAAGATATTTGAACCTGTAAATAAATTTACGAAATAAATTGTTCTGTAAATCTTAGACATTGATGCTGACCGCATTAGTTTCCTAGCAGAAGGCGTTCAGCCACTCGTCTTTACCAGATCACGAGTGGGTATACCGTACTACGCATTTCTTACAACCGTTAGCCAGCTTAGATTAAAAACTTCCCAATTTATTGATAGTTCTTCAGAAATATCTACGAACCTCTATTTCCGACCTCTGATTTGATTGAACCGGCATATTTCGATGACGATCGGTGTTACTGGTTAAGGCGTTATAGAACTTCCAATACCTATGACATTTCAAAACCTTTAAGTTTTAGGGCCAGCAAATTTCACTGCGCCTTAGCCGAATCATCTATCAGGCAAATCACCTGATGTCGAACAGTCTACCGATCATGGTCAGCGTTAAGGACATCCAACGCCCATCGAAAAGTTGCATACAAAGTGTGGGCCCATCCGATAGCGTTTCCTCCCCGTACTTTCTTAGTTTGATAATATTAATATGTCCTGTTGTCAATTGGGTGTCATTCTAGCCTATCATCTTGGAATTCAATTCACTTGGTTGCCACAATTGCACTGTTACGGGAGAACTAAAGACATTTGGCTGATTACAACCTTTATATTGTATATTATTAAGCTTACTGTGTTTTTGGATGTATTTGTTTTACTCAACTTCTGAACTTGTTTGTTTATATCATTATTTTCGGACATTTTTGGTTTCTTTTGTCTTTGTTTTGTTATTTGAGAATTTTTGCTCCGGGAACCGACAAATTCGAAGAACGACATCTAGGTCGACTATTTATAAATTGCGAATAAACTTTGCTACCTAAATCGCAGTTTGGTTCTATTGTTAATTTGGGTTCGTATATTGCAAATAGATCGATATACCGTACTTCAATCGCGGGAAAGAGCAAAACCTTTAACGTGGCAGGCACAATGCAGTTTAAGTATCAACTGTGAAGTGTGAATTTGATGTAAGATATAGGTTTACACTTTACCCTTTCATTAACAATGAACCTACTACATCGACAAAGATCGCTAATGTCGGTAACTTGGAAAATGTTCTCGATTTAGGTTACACTACTCACAGCGTTTTAAACTTATACTGTTAGGCTTGACCCGTTCATAATGGGATTAGTTTGAATTATCAGATCAATTGCAGACTACCGAGAGTTTAAAAAAGATGCAAGTGACTCCCAACTTTGCTGTGTTAACTATGGTTTTTCGAATCCATAGAAGCCTCTCGGTTGATTAGGTTTAACTCCGATTACTCTGATCTTATTTCAGGTTTAATTAATTAATTAATTCCTCTTCCTGCTTTATTCAGAATTTATTGCGATATTCAGCACATTTTTGCCCTTTTATTAAGTATTCTGATTGCTCGTATATTGTTTAAAGCGTCTAGATCCTGGATTGACTTATAACTTCGTGAAATTTCAAAGCACTTGTCAGCATAGATAACGAATCGCTTCTTCTTGAAGAATAAGAAGAAGAAAGAGAAGAAGAGGAAGGTGATAGTACGAGTACATCATGTTCCTTCTTGGTAAAAGGACAGTGCATCAGTTAATAACTGGAAGTAACATAGGCCAGCATAACAAAACATAATTGCAAATCTTTTTAGAACACAAGTGAAAGTCAAAATGTCTTCAGAATGATCATAAGCGATACGTGAAAATCGGTCGATCCATATCCTGAAGTTATACAAGGTAGGGGTGTTTATCAATTGAACATATCAACAATCTGTTGAGAGGAGGTAGAAAGAAAGAAAATTATTGAACACATGTAATGAACACTCCTTTAGATGGTACTGTAGTGAAGGAGAACACAGTTGAAGACAACCGAATTATATTTAGCACGAAATTGTAGAGTTACTTGCTAAAATAGAAAAATCATACTATAATACTTAATTTCCAAAATTGTTATTGCATTTCCATACTAATCGCTTTCTATTCCCTTTCTTCCTTTCTTGATCTTCATGGTCTTCTGCTGCCAGACATTACATTCCTGATACGCGTTATATACTACTTATGTCAATATAAGTGGCACGCACCACAGTGCTACTACCTGAAACGCTAGTAAATCTCCTCTTAACTGGACAGTGAAAGCAAGACAATACGGATTTTCGGTTAGAACCTAGTATTTTACTAGAGGTTGTAAAAATGAAATCGAAAACGGCTATAGACAAACTGGAAGCTTTTTTACAGAATTAGGACCTAGTCAGAAGCTACCGTACCAGTCCACAAAAGTATATCTGAATCTCCAAAAATAGGCCCAGACAAACACTTGACTATGGGAATCACAATCCTAGCTCACATATCGGTGAAATCACCGGGTGTTGCTGACACCCCATTATTTGTTGAAGGTAAGGAACAGTGAGTGGACGTTCAGAAAAGAAATGTCAATAGCCAGGCTTCCAAAAGGTCAAAAGTAGGTACCAAAAACTTCAAACGAAACTCTGATCTTATCTCGTGTCCCAATGCCGAGGAGTAGTTTGTTAGAAAGCTGGGCAGCTTTTGATAAAGAACATTGAGTCAAACACTATACAACGATGGAAAAGGGCATCAGTTCAGCCAAGCCGTGCCTCCAGTATAAGTGCCAGAACGTAACCAAAAATACACTCTCTTCATAATGGGTAACTTTATATTTAGGGAAAATTTTACCGATATCCCAGAGACCATCGGTTAAACGATTCTCCCAAGTCTGATATAGACACGACAAATGGTGGGTGGTAGTGCAGGCTCCAAAATGTCATCAGACACCGGAGAATCAATCGGCATTGTGGCTCACGGAGTGCCTGTATTAGTAGTCGGTAGTCAAGATGAAGCTCACGAACAAAATATGCAACAGTGGCGTTCGTTATTCCGTAAAATAAGCACTCACACAGCTACTATAAGTAGCGTGCCCAAGATACTTCGTCCGTTTAACCTCGTGACCATTAGGTCTCCGCCTCTGATGTCTGTGAACTTCAAAAACCGAGAAGACGTAACTGGGGCGCAACTCTGAAGCGACACAAAAAGCTGTTCGTACGGGATTAGGAAGTACGCATTAAACAACGAACTGCCTTAAAACTAGGAGACAGATGCTGTTATATATGATCACCAGGTAATGAGAAGAACCATCATATGCCTATAAAGCACTGTAAGAGGACTGAGGAGCAAATCAGGAAAAGTCCGAATTATGCTTTCAATTAGATTTGAAGACCATCTTTCTAGCTAGATTGTGGCTATCGACCGACATCTTATATTCAGAAGTGGGCATGCAGAGCATGACATTTCCGGTAAAATAGGGTGCATGAAATAGAAGGCGGCTATAAACATTAACGGTTATCTCATAGAAGTAACAACATACGATTTCGAATTAACTGAGGTGGCAGAATTATGCCAGTGTTGCTCAATGTTAATGGAACAAAGTACCTGATTGGAGGAGCATACCGGCCTCCACATATTCTAACACTCAAAAAGATGTGATAATGCAAGCGATATACGGCCATTACACCTGCAGTTTGACAAGTGCTACAAGCTGGAGACTTCAACAATCCATCCCTATATCTCAACAAACGGGTGACAATCCCCACGAGGTGGTTGCATAAGCGGCTTGCCATATTCATCAGAAGTTCAGGACAGACTGAACGTTTGGATGCGTCAAATGGTGTGATAAAGACGGAAAACCCCCAAACAGAAATCATTTACTGACAAGTTGTCAACTGCCAGTTGGGGATTTCCACATCCACGCATCATTAAGAAGTAGCGAACACGGTACAGTCATTTCCAACACGAGACTCCGAACGGAGCAGAACACTCCTTATCTGAGCCGCACTAGAACAGACCATACGACGATAAGGAAGCAATTTCAGCACGCACATTGGAGACGAGAGTGGTTGGATAACAGTGGATGACCAATGTGACATAGTCACAGTCATCATGCAGAATCCCAACGTCTCTCAGACAACAAACCTGAAAAGTAAAAATCTTGGATTAAGAGAGGCACAAAACGCTTGCTACAGGCCAAACAGAGAACCTGGAACAGAAAGAAAGTCTCCCTGTGGGATTGAAAAACAGATGCAGCACCAAAGTCCGGTGTGATAGATGTTTTCAAGCTATTATAGCAGTCGCAGTGCAAGCTGATTCCAAATATCCCCACATATTCGTAACCAGGAGAAAACTCACAAGCCATGGGATCTGTATTATCATAGGGTCAGATGGCAAATACCCTACTAACTTACAGATGATAGACATTTTCAATATCAACTCCACACACAGTAAAACTAAGGGCCCGC